GAAATCCAGCAGGATGAATGTTTTTCAATTGGGTAGCCCATACGTTTCCGAAGCAGGATACCGCTATTCTTCCAGTAGGCCTCGCGAACACCAGGCCACAGAAAGCCCCAACGGGCCACAGAAAGGCCATCACCCACGAGCCCTGGGCCACAGAAAGCCCTAACGGGCCACAGAAAGCCCCAACGGGCCACAGAAAGTACCAGTCGCCCCAGGCCGCTTCCCCCCCGCCCACCCCTTCGCGCGGCGCCGGATGTGCGCGGCAGCGCAACTGAATGTACCTGGAGCGCAGGCAGTGCACGGGGTTCGTCGAGAAGAAGGAGCTCGCCAGCCGCCTGGAGCACGTCTCGTAAGGGACCTGCGCCGACGGCGTCTTGTCCGACCTTCCGAAGAGGGGCACGACGTAGAGAAGCAGCAGCGTGTGCACCAGCACGTGAATCAGGAACGCTACCGTGGCCTGCCTAGAAGAGCAAACAACTGCACAAACAACAACTATCGTAGGCCGCGCGGGTTTCTTGGGACGGCGCTGGCACCCCTGGCGGCGCCTCCGGCGACGCCCCTGGCGCGCTACGCGCGCCAGGAAAAGAGGGCCCAGTGCCGATCCAAGAAATCTGAGCGGACCTCCGAACATTTCTGCCTGTGTCGCTGTTGATTCGTCGACTGCCGGAAGAGTTCTGCGTCGGCAAACTGCTGGGAGTCCTGGGCGAACAAGTTGTTGCTCGCAAGAGTGACCTTTGGTGCTGGCCCCAAGGGGGTCGCGCCAAAAGAAAAACTGGCCCCACCCCCCCAGGGCCAGCACCGAAAGTCACTCTAGCGATAGCGAAAGGTCACGTACGTGTAATCGAAAACATATTGGCACCGCTACTCCTCAGACCTTCTGGAGCGCAGCCTGACGACCACAGGAGAATCCAGCCGTGGCAACGAGGGCTCTCCAGGACACTCACTCAGCGGTATCAGCACCCAAACGTCCGATGTCTTGATTTCCTCAACACGGGGTCCCCCGGAGCTCTGGACCACCTCCCGGGGGCCGGTTTTTCAGGCAGGATCGTGCTTCGACGGCCCCGAGGCCCGGCGAGGGCCCCCAGAGGCCGAAAACGGCTAAAAACATCCGCCCTGACGTTCCCAATACGTTGGACGTCTGGGTATGGTTTCCTCCTCCCGAGTCCTCCAGGTGGCCCTCCAGCCTCTGCCGGTAGCCCTGGAGCCCCCAGCGCCTCCCGTCCTCCCGCGGGCCGTGCAGCGCCGGCAACCACGCCGCCTCGGCTGGGCCCGAGCGCGACTTGAAGACGAGCGCAGCGAGGATCAGGCCGCACGGGATGGAGAGCATCCACTGTACCCACCAGTCCACCTGTCGGCTACACTTTTTCGAGCAGTGGCGAAGCGTCCTGGCTTACCTACAGGCCGACCAAAGAATGTTCTGAGAACCCGAGACCGTCTCGTTCCAACATATCGCACTTAGGTCCTCAGAACATTGCCCTGATTCTTGGAACACCTTTTGTTCTATAGAAGAAAGACGGCGTAAACATGAACTGTTAGCGCTCCGCGCGGATCTCTTGGATCTGCGCTGGACCCCCCTCCCTGGCGCGCGGAGCGCGCCAGTGGCGGCGCCGGAGGCGCCGCCAGGGGGCTCCAGCGCAGATCCGAGAAATCCGCACGGAGCGCCACAAGTCTGTGCTTATGATTTGTTTTTGTTACATCTTCGGTTCTAAAAACATTTCGTGGTACGGCAGGTTCGTGTCGTGTCGACCCCGGCGTTGGTTCCTGGCACCGCGGGGATCTTTCAGCCTTGAACGATCGGCCGTTTTGGAAACGTCCGATCGTTCAACGTCCAACGATTCTGGGTCGCCCACGGCGTTCATCGTTGAACACCAGCGCAGGGTGATGACTAGGGGTGGGTGGATATCATGGCCACCGCCATGATACCCACCCACCCCTAGTCTTGTGGATGCCATGACAACGGACACTCTAACAATCCTACCATTGAATTAAAGATGTGTTTAAACTGTGTAAAACCTGTTCTAAACATGTGTCAAACATGTGTTTTAACATGTTTAAAACATGGTGGGAACAGATGTTAGGCCTCTGGAAATTAGTTGGCAGCGTGCTTCCTATCCATTAATCGCCCTCCACAACCCTGGTCATCACCCCCCCCCCCTCTTGCCGCCCCCATGGTAGGCACACTTGGATTAGGTCGGGTCTGTCCCCCTACAGATGGATCTTGGGCGAAAAATCCAGAAAGGTAGTCAAAAAATACCCCCCCAATGGTCAAAAATTATCCCAGTGCGACCCTACCTAGGAGTTGGAACCCCTAGGAAAGCAGCATTAGTAGTAACAGTAACGCTAAGCTAAAGCTAAGCTAAAGCTAAGCTAAAGCTAAGCTAAAGCTAAGCTCTGGCTAAGCTCAAGCTAAGCTAAAGCTAAGCAAAAGCTAAGCTAAAGCTAAGCTAAAGCTAAGCTAAAGCTAAGCTAAAGCTAAGCTAAAGCTAAGCTAAAGCTGAGCAACAGCTAAGCTACAGCTAAGCTACAGCTAAGCTAAAGCTAAGCTAAAGCTAAGCTAAAGCTAAGCTAAAGCTAAGCTAAAGCTAAGCTAGAACTACGCTAAAGCTAAGCTAAAGCTAAGCTACAGCTAAGCTACAGCTAAGCTCAAGCTAAGCTAAAGCTAAGCTAAAGCTAAGCTAAAGCTAAGCTAAACGCTAAGCGAAAGCTAAGCTAAAGCTAAGCTACCGCTAAGCTAAAGCTAAGCTACAGCTAAGCTAAAGCTAAGCTAAAGCTAAAGCTAAAGCTAAAGCTAAAGCTCCCAGGGGACTGGGGGGAACCGCTCCCAGGGGACTCGGGGAACCGCCCGGGGCGTGTTCCACTGCCCGGCCCCTTTAAGCTAAGAGAGTAAGAACCCTTCTAGGCAGAGCCTAGGTAGGGAAATACTGAAACCGAAATCGTCCCTTGACTATGTTTTGACTATTCGGGAATATTCCTCCTGTAGAGGGAGAGGCCCGACTTCACACTTGGAATGCCGGGGCGGTCGGCCACTGCTCCAAGGCTGTGTGGTCCGCAGCGCGGGGCTGGCGCCGGCGCGGTCCGGAGAGCCGGCGGGCCGCGCGCGGCACGGGCGCACACTGGGCACGAAGGAGAGGAAGAGAAGGAAAGCGACCGCGGAGCGACAGCGCTCCTCCTCCTCCTCCTCCTCCTCCTCCTCCTCCTCCTCCTCCTCCTCCTCCTCCTCCTCCTCCTCCCCGTCCTCCTCCTCCTCCTCCTCCTCCGCCTCCTCCTCCTCCTCCTCCTCGGACAGCGCAGGCTCATACAGTGGAGGCCAGTCCACAAGAAACCTACCACAAGAAACCCAACCCTGAGACCCCAGGACTTCCACGGGTTTTTAGCGTGCACGTCGCGCTTTCCACAGAAAAACCATCGAGGCCCAGAAGACCCAGGGCACCCTGGAGGCGAGCAGGGTGTTTCTTGGCATGGGCCCCCACTGCAACTCGGGCTACAGGGGGGGTGGGGGGGGCGACGGGCTCGAGGTTCGAGGCTTTGAAGCGTTCGGGCGTGTTGTCGTCGAATCTCGGCGGACGTCCAGCCTCGGGGTGTTCTATCCAGCGGCTGCGCCTCGCCGAGGGCACGCTGGACACGAGAAGAAAAAAAAACAAACCAAACAAACAGGGCGAGCGCGGAAAGACGACGAGATACGCACCGCGCCCGAGGCCCCCCCCCCCGCGCGCCCGAGGCATCGGCATACACAGGGGGAGCGTCGGAAGGAGGACGAGGACCACGACGACGACGACCTCCAGAGCTCAGGACCCAACCCCTGGGACCAGCTTCTCATCCCGAGCTGTTGTCGGTGGTGCCCCCAGGACCCGTTCTGAGCCTCTAGGGGCCGGCCCGGCCGAGGAACCGCGCCCGAGGAGCCGACGCGCGAGCGCGGAGGAGGACGCGGCCGCGGGGGGAGGCCTCGGGCGTACAGTGCCGGTTTTAGTACATGCTCCGCGTGCAGATCATGCATTTTATATATATATATATATATTTATATATATATATATATATTAAAAAAAAGGATTTAGTGTGAAAAACAAGGATGAGCTCATGCATAAGTTCATTCACGAAATTACTCATGTAGTCAAACTCCAACATGTCTTAAAATCCCATGTATGGAAAACGAACTGCCCTGTAGAGAGTCCACGCCACGAGGCGTGCGCGCGCGGCCTCGGGCAGCGGCAAAAGCCGCCTGGGCGACGATCAGAAGCGGGTCCTGCGCGGGACAGCACAGGGACCTTGCGCCGCAGGCTTGCGCGGGCCGCTGGCGCGCAGTACGCTGCGCTGGAAGCGAGGACGCTTGCGCGCGACCTTACGCGAGCAGCTTGCGCGGCAGTGTCGGCGCAGACGACCCCGTTTGTTTAGCGTCGCTCACCTGTCGGCTCCACACAAGGGTGGCCCTGGGCGAAAGACTGCGCACTCGACCATGGAACCCCTGTCACCAAGCGGTCCTGGGTGGTCTTCGGCGCGCTTCTGGCGGTCTTCGGCGGTCTTTGGCGGTCTTCTGACGGCCTTCGGTGGTCTCGGCGATCTTCGGCGCGAAAGCTTGACGGTTGCATTCACCAAGGGGTCCATGATCGAAGACCTAGAAGGGAGGAGTGGTGGGGGGGGCAAAGGCGAGCGTGCAAGCAAGCCAGTGCTGGAGGGGTGACCCCTGTGGGCATGCACCAAAAAGGTCACTCCAGCGGGAGGTCAGTCTTACGACTAGCCGACATCCGGCCGGTCCCAGAAATTCTGGGTACGCTGGCGTTGAGCCTTCAGCCTTCTCTTGGGGCGGTGACGTCTATTTCCGCCTGCTTCCGAACAAAAATCCGCCATCGAAACTGACGAAGCCATCAACGCATTGCTTCCGCTGGAGTCCGCGAGCCCTCCGCCAGCTTCCGCCGACGGAGAAATGGAAATCCCCTGAACCCTGGAAAGCGAGGCAAGGCCTCTAGTTTGAGAAAGTCGAGTTGGTGTTGCTGAGCGTGCGCTGCTATTTACGTATTGAATTTGTCAGGAGCCACCTGCATCGTGGAGAAGTAACAACTCGGCGACGACCTGAGGATGCGCCAGTGGTCGTAACAATAAATGAACATGTGACTGCCCACCAGCCCCAAAAACAAAGGGAGGGTGTAGCCACCGGGAAAAAAGAACCCGCCACCTTGCCTTCGGCGCGCTGGGGCGGATCGACAAGCCCTTTGGTTGTCCTGTAGGGATTCTGCCAATTTCCAGGGCCGCCCTCCCCCCTTCTGGGGAAACCAAAAGGTACCGATACCGCTACTCCCCGAACCTCTCCCCAGGAGCGTTCTGACCAGAATTTCGAGGTGCATCCAGCGGAGGCGACGAGGGCCTCCCAGGAGGCCCCGAAAAAATGCGAAAACGAGGGAAGGGTAGCGGTATCCGTACCTGGTCCTGCTCTGCCTTATCGCAACCACCCTCCCAAGATGATCCCCCTCTGCTTCGCGGCACATCGTTGCTTGTCCCCTGGGCGGCTCCGAGACGGACGAAGACCCCCCGAGGGCCGCTGCAGAATGACCGAATGACAGCCCAGCAGCCCCCAAAGGCTCCAAGATGTCCCCAAGAGGCACCAGGAGGCCCCGAAGAGACACCCAGCGCGGCCTCCAGCGAGGCCCTGGGAGGCAAACGCAAACAATCACAAGTTGATCTGAAGTTGAGTTGCTTCCGATGCTTTTCGGCTGCTGAACGCCTCGCGAAAGCTTCAGGGAGCCCCTTATGAGCTCCTGAGACGGCCCAAGATGGCCCCAGAAAGGCCCTCCGTCAGCCCAAAGACTGCCCGCAAACCCCCGAGACGGCCAAAGATCGCACGAGAGGGCTAACAGACTGCCCCAACTCCCGCCCAGGCATCCCCAAGATGGCTCAACCGAGCCTCTTCGGGAGAGCTCGGCTGAACCATCGAGCCCAAGACAGCCCCACGGACCCAAAGGGGCCACAACGAGCCCCGAATAGGCACTCGAGAGGGCCCTGAAAAGAAAACAAGAGAATCACTAAGCCTGCAGGAGTGACCAGACGCCTTCAAGATGAAGAGGGAGGAGGGATGGCCAGGAAAAGAACAAGGAGGGAGGGGGGAGGAGGAAAACGAAGCTGAGGACAATGACGACTTATTCAGGACCCGCGCCAGTTCAGACAGGGCACCGAACGAATTGGAGCGGGTCTTGAACTCTTCTCCTCCTCCTCCTCCTCCTCCTCCTCCTCCTCCTCCTCCTGCTCCTGCTCCTGCTCCTGCTCCTCCCCCTCCTCCCCTCTCTCTCCTCCCTCTCTTCCCTGCTGCGCTGCTGCGCTGCCACGGTGGTGGGGTCTGCCGTAGGCAGCTGGATATCAGAACCGCAAGCATAATGTTGAGGTTTATGTCGGCGTACCGCGACAGGTCAAACGGGACGGCAGAGAGGAAGGCCTCTGTGCTTTGATGTTTGTGTTCGTCCTCTTTCATTGTCCTTCTGCTCCTCCTCCTCCTCCTCCTCCTCCTCCTCCTCCTCCTTTTCATTGGGGCCGCCAGAGTGGGGTGACTCTGGGACGCAGGTGCGTATGCCTCTGCGGTGGTGTAAGTGATCTCCCTGTGGCTCCGTACAATGTACTCCATCAGCTTGAAGGGCACGTAGACGGTGATCAGGGGCTCGATCAGGAAGGGCAGGAGGAAGGTGGCCGGCCACGCAAACATGTAGACCTCGCACGGGGGGAGCGGAAGGGAGAGGTAGAGGAGGAAGCAGAAGGGAGGAGGGGGGAGGAGGAGGAGGAGGAGGGGAATGGGAATGAGTCATGGGCGGGAAGTCTGCCTGCCGCCGCGGCGGCAGAGGCGGGAGGAGGAGGAGGAGGAGGAGGAGGAGGAGGAGGAGGAGGAGGAGGAGGAGGAGGAGGAGGAGGAGGAGGAGGAGGAGGGAGGAGGAGGGAGAAGGTGGAGGAGGAGCCACGCGAGCGTGCAGACCTCTCTTCCGAGCTCCTGCTGCATCGGGTAGGCCTCGATCCTCTCCACGAACGTGGGGAGCTCCGAAAGGGGCGTCCCGTCGTAGGTCCGGATCTCCCTTCCCACAAGCCGTAGGTACGAGATGCTGTAGGTGATGGCGAGGTCGAGGACCACCTGGACAACGCACGCTAAGTTGTCCGCCACCGCGCCTGCACAGCAGCGGGGTGTCAGAGCGCCTGGTTTTCCCTAGCTGCGTTTCGCTAAGAGGGTTCTAGTAGCGTTTGGGAAGGGCCACAGAAGAGTCCCACAAGGAGGACGGGGAGCCCTGGTGCAAGCAGCCGCTTCGTCCGAGACTTCCTCACAGGTCATGCAGAAATCGTGCCCTCGTCTCAATGATGGCTGCAGTTTCGGTCAGGACAATCTCGAGCGACGCATCCTGCAGAGAGGCGGCCCCCTCCCCGACGAAGTGCGCACACGCGCGGCAGGTGGTGCGTCGAGAGGTCCTGCTGTAAGGAAGCGGCGAGGGCACGTGGGCGACGAAAACAGGTGGCGGCATCCGAACCCTACCCCCAACCATCGAGTCTTCTGAATCGGTGGGGGGCGGGGGTAGGGCTCGCATTTCGCCACGTGTTCGACGAACTCCGAACCCCATCCCCGCCGCCCATCGAGCTGCCTGAATCGCTGATCGGCGAAGGTGGAGTTCGAATTTCGCCGCCGAGGAAAGAAAGGGGTCTTCTGCGAGATGAGATAGCGACCTTACTCCGCGGCTCACCCTCCACCGCCAGCGCTCGGCGGCGGGCGCGGGGGGGAAATGAGAAGGGGCGGGACTTCCGAGGCTTCTGAGAAGTTTCCGAACTTCTGAGAGGGCTTCTGAGAAGTTCAGTCTGTATTCGAAATAGGCTAAGGAGACCTCTCAGAAGTCCCCCGGACTTCTGAGAAGTCCCGCGGCCTTCTGAGAAGGCCTGCTCCTTCTCATGTCCCCCCTGGGCCCGCCGCCGAAGCGCTGCACGACGAGGGCGCTTCCGCGCGACCTTACGCGGGAAGCTTACGCGCGAATGCCGGTACAGTCGACCCCGCTTTCTTCCGTCGCTCGCATCCCAGGGCGGCCCAGGACTCTCCTCTGTGGGGCAAGATCGGGGAGCAACAGGTGGCTGTGGAGCACCACCAGCCGACAGGCCGGCTTCTGGTTTGATGCGCAGACTGAACACATCAAGCCCGCCCCCGGTGTTGCTTCCCGGCGCGGGTGTCGGCCGTAAGGCGAAACCAAGTTGGCCAAATATCGGCTCAAGACAGCTGACAGATGCCCAGTGATCGGCCAAACGACGGCCAACCGACCCCCAAAGGCTCGTGTCCACCAAAGGCCTCGAGAAGGCCTCACAAGTCCCCAAGTTGGGCCCAAAGAGGCCTCCAGCGAGACCCGAAGAAACCAAATACATTGAAACAACTTCATGACATCTCGGCGGTGTGCTTTCAGACGTTCCAGCTCTCGCCTCGGAAAAGCTCGAGATCGACTCGCGCTGAATGGGAGGGCTCCACGGCCCCCCAGGGCGACGTACCCCTACGGTGGCGTAGCGGGGGACACAGCTCCAGCCACAGAAGGCGTCGAAGCCATGCTGAAACCCTCTCTCGGCCTCCCCTGAGCTGGCACGCTGGCGGGGGTTTCCTCAGGCACGTGGATAGAGCAGCATGTTGCAGACCTCGCGGGCGTCCGTCGTGTGGAACCCGACCCAGTCAGATACCTCGCTGCATACCAAGCACATGAGGGCGTTGCCCGCAATGACGACCCCTGAGAACACAAACACCTCCGTGTTGCTGGGCTCCTGCCCAGTGGCGAGGCGAAGGGGGCGGGCGGGGAGGATGAGGAGGGAGGCATCCAGAGGTCCCTGGTAGCCTTCAGAGGCCCCATGGAGGTAGAACAAGATGATAGAAACGTCCAAACACCTAGATCCTCGATCCTCGAAGAAGGTGAAGAGAAGAAAGCTCCTGCCCGTACGTGTACGTTGCGTTGGTCACGAAGTAAGCGTACGGCCCGAAGAACGCCACTACCCATACCGCCAACGATAGCATCACGACGCCACCGCCCACGGCCAGTTTCATGACGAGATCGCTCGTGGAGTTCAGGAAACCACTGTTTTCCCAGAGGATCGAATCGGGATCCAGCGCCGCTTTCTCAAGAGTGATCACGCTGCCCTCGAACTCGATGCCGCGAGCGCTCGCGACCGCTTCCACGGCCTCGTCCCTATCCGCCTGCGTGTTGAACACGGCCCAGGCTTCTCCAGAGTGCGACATGCCCAGCAGCTCCTTTCGGCGTTGCCGAAAGGTGACCCGAGGCAGGGGTGAGGTTGCAGACACGGGCCAGACCCACGAGCGCAGGCCGCTGCTGCTCCACCGCACGCGGCGATCAGGGGACCCCAGCCCGTCCGCACCGGAAGTCACTCTGGCGAGGGACCACTCCTCCTCCTCCTCCTCCTCCCCCCCCTCCTCCTCCTCCTCCTCCTCCTCCTCCTCTTCCTCCTCCTCCTCCGCCTCCTCTTTACGCATATCGCCGGTCCTCGACGACCACCCCGCCCAGACTCTGCGCAGACTCGTCTCGGACGGGGTAGTCGGCGTCTTCGTGCACCGGCAGGCGCGGGCCTTGCGGAGGGAGCTCGCGCCTGCGACGCGGCTGCCCATGGAGGCCCTTCTGCCGAGACTTCCCCTTCCTCAGGATCCTCTGGAACCCCTCTTGGACGAAAGCGGACTCGATGCTGGCGAACAGCCGGTCTACGAGCGTCCGCTCCTTGAGGGCAGCATAACTCACCCACCCACCCCCACTCCCCACTCCCGAGCTGGCGATCCAGAAGGTCCTGGCTGGGGATGAGGGTGGTTTGTTGGCCCCCAATCCATCCCCACCCCCAGCCAGCACCTCCTGGATCACCAGGTCGGGAGTGGGGGTCCTGGCTGGGGGTGGGGATGGGTTGTGCTGTCCTGGTGCGCCGCCGGAGAGTCCCCGCCCTCGTCGGGCTTGATGCCGGTCACCGCCTCCTCGCGCTCCTTCAGACACGAGTTATCAGGGCAGGAGGTGGTCAAGGGTACCTCTCGATTCCGGCCTCCCTCTTCGCGACGGAGTTGCCCCAGGCCCGATTGCGCTCAACTCGAGTTGTCCTGAATCACATTCTGCCCCATATAGATACGGTCCACCACTCCCAAAACAGAACACATTCTGGAGCAAGCGATTTCAGGGATTTCCCGGATCAGATTTGGGGACACCACGCAGGGCCCTGCCCAGACCAGGTCTACCTATCCTGGATAATTCGGGTGCCCAACTCCTGAAGATCAAAGGCGATGGTGCCGTTGAGCAGGTCCGACTGGCTCTGGCTCTTGATGCACCAACACACCGAGACTCCCACGGCGGGCTTCCTGGTGGCGCTCTCCAGCAGGTCCTTGAGCTCCTCCTCGACGAACCGGCTGGGGTCCATGGCTGGTATGCCCGAGAGCTTGACGGCGTAGTCCCTGTGGGTCGTCTCCACCTCGTCGATGCGCTGGAAGGCGCGCAGCTGCCTGACGCTGTGCAGCAGCGCGCCGCCAGAGCTGAGAGCGTAGACGAAGGCCAAGAACAGCACCTTCGCCCACATCAGGCGGCGCTGCGTCTCGAAGCCCCACGCCATCACGATGCACTGGTCGCGCGGCGTTGAGGCCGACCGCGTGCCCATGCGCAGCAGGTCCGTGTCGATGAGGAAGGCCATGGCAGCCCACAACACCGCCACCGCCAGCCCCCAGAGCATCACCCCCGCCTGGAAGTTGAAGCTGAGGATGACGCCGGGGCCCGCCACGTCCTGCTTGCACAGGTTCGTGGACAGCGGCCACATGCGCCGCGTCGACGCGAACTCGTCCTTGCACTGCTCGGCCTTGCCCATGATGGATCGGGGGTCCCTCCGCGCCGCGTCGCCCGAGGCCCCGGAGCCGGACGAGTCCGAGCGCGCAGGAGCCCAGCGGGGCGAGCCGTAGGAGTCCGCGTACGACAGCCGCCCGTAGCTGGGCTCGGCCGTGACGGCAGCGCCGCGCGCTGGGGGGCCCGGCGGCTGGTCGGCGTGGAGCTCGCCCGAGCCCGCGGCGAAGCCGTAGCTCTCCGCGCTCGCGCTCCGCTGCACCTGCCAGCCCCAGACATCCGACGACTTGGTTTCAGAAGCGCAGGGTCATGAGAATGACACGCGGGTTACCAAGAACTCCGAGGTCCCCCACGGTTCCACACGGGCTGCAGAAACAACGGAAGGAACGCATCCTGAGCCAATCCCACCATGACATCCTTCTCGTCCGATAGTACGTTCAATACGGGGCCCCCGGAAGTTTCGACAGGGCGGGCCGAAAGGTACCGATACTGCTACTCCCCGGACCTCTCCCGGGGTGCGTTCTGACCAGGATTTCGAAAGGAATCCAGCGGTGGCGACGAGGGCCTCCAATGAGGCCCACAAAAGGGGAAAACGGGCGAAGGGCAGAAGTATGGGGTAGGGGCATACTCTTCCCTCCTCTGATCGACCCCGTCTCCCCCGGGGCCCGGCGAGGGCCCCCAGGCCATAAATTCAAGTCCGGCGTGTCCCTCTACAGGAGGACTATTCAAAAGTAGGCTCCAAAACAATCGTCTGGGGACGATGTGTCTGACTATTTTTGCTGATTCGTTGAATAGTTGTTGGAACATGTTTGATCTCTCGTCCCAGATCAGCCTGTAGGAAGACACCCCCGACCTGACCTGAAATGCCCCGTCGCGACTTCCCGTGCGCTGCGAGCACGTCTGCGGCCCCCCCCTCATTTGAGCAGGGACCGACCGTCCCGGCATTTCGATAGGCCTACCACGACATGTTCTTAGAACCCGGAAGTGTTCCGAGAACAAAAACTATGTTCTCAGAGCATACAAAGCCGATGTGTGAAAACAGGACAGTCCCCGCCAGAAGTGTTCTTAGAACAGCTCGTGGAAACCACAGAAAGAAAGGTTATTAAACCAATGCTTCGTCGGCCTATAGTCGGGGATGGACAAAACCCCCTCTAGTAAAACGTGGTTTAGTGAAAACGACATCGGGCCCAAACCTTGCGGGCGCTAGCCTGGAAAATGACGGCAGCGACGCCCTCCCGCGAACCGAGAACGGCCAATTCCTGAATCGACGTGTCAGGGTAGGAGGTCTGTCCACCTCCGACTATGGGCACGCCAAGACGCTTCGCCACTGCTCCACCGGCGTTCTGGCCCGCTCGTCAACCGGAAAATGTTCTGAGAACAGAACCAATGTTCTTAGAATAAAAGCCAGTTGTGTGAAAACAGGACAGTCCCAGCCCGAAATGTTCCCAGAGCAGTCCGTGGAAACCACACAAAAAGGTTCTTAGAGCAGGTCTTGGTCGGCCTGGAGGCACGCCAGGACGCTTCGCCACTGGTTTGACTCGCGAGGCCGGGGGCCTCCACCGGCGTGCCGGCACTGTCGTCGACCGCGGCGGGAACCTCGGCCGCGCGCTCCCCGGGCAGGCGCTCGCCGACGTCCGCGCCCGCCTCCGTTGGAGGGACTGCAGGGTTTGGGGCAAGGGATCGACCAGAGAATCGATGTGCCCCAAAAGGAGGAGGAGGCGGACGAGGACGAGGAGGAGGAGGAGGAGCAAATGCTCGATGCGACGGAATCCCCGACTGGTATACCAGCCTACACCAGCACGCCTATTTCTACACGCTCAGCATCGTGGGGGCAGCCACTGCAGCATTTCCTAAAAGCCAGCACAAGAAGATGCAGCAGTACATCTCCGAACAGACCTTCGCTTTCATCATTGACCGACGTCGACTCGCCAAACTACTACGGAAAGCAGCACAGCATGGACGACAGCACCACCTTGTTACCCGAAGAATCTCGAAGGATATAGCCTACACCATCGAACACCCGACCAGAAGCTTACCGACAAAGTACATCGACCATCACTACAACGGACTCATACGACTCGCTACGGAAGCCCAGCACGCCAACAACAGCAACGACTACAACGGCTTCTTCGACGCTGCACGAGATCGGTACAATGACACTCGAAAAACATCATCACGACTGGTCAACGACGACTACGACGAGTTCATCAACCAGCAAGCGACACGTGCAGCAGAAGCGAGGCACAACAATGAGCTATACCACGAATGGCAAAGAATACGCAAGCTTCTACTTTTTGGCGGGCGCAGGCGCCGCAAGACACGGACATTCCCTACGATGATCGACAGCAACGGCGAGATCATTACAGACGCTGCGTCCAAGCACAGCGAGGCTGTTCACTATTTTGGCAACGTAGAAGCTGCAGCCTTCATGACAAAGACCGACATTTCAACACGATACAACAACACCGACGACATCTGCGACAACACCACGGTTCGAAGCATCGACAGCTTCGCCAGCATCTACGAGCTCGAAGAACAACTGGCGCTTTCCAAACTTGGACGAGCTGCAGGGCCTGACGAAGTTACCGACGAAGTCGCTCACGCGGCACCACGACAGATGGCACGCCATATGCATCCGCTCATTACATAGAGTGCACTGTTCATCCAAGAAGCAGTGACGCACAAAGGATCGCGAATGACACACACCTCTGGAAAAGGGAAAGGTACCGAAGAGATGCTACAACACCACCGATCAACATCGCTCGCCAACACAATCATCAAGCAACACTACAGGTACCTATGTCAGTGCATGAAGGACGTTCTACCTGGGCTGTTTTATTCAGCGCGCAGATGGGAAGTCGAAACCACTACAGCACGGACTATAACCACCTCATCATGCGCTTGACCTTCAACCGCGCAGCTGCGGAGGGAACCAACCTCATCATGATCATGGTCGACTTGAAATCTGCTTTTCACAAGGTAGCAACGAATTTGGTATACGACATGCAGATGGGCTTCGACGACATCGACAACCTGATCAGCCACATGGACATCCCCCATGCACGCAACCGGCCATCCAAGCCCTCATGCACAACAACGGCATCGTCAGCGCCCACGTAGACAACCAATACCTGATCATGATGATGACCGAGGCCCACCGCAACACATGGTTCTTCACAGAGCACGACTCAGACTACGCAGCACCAAGGCCGGGAACACGGCCAGAAGTACCGATTGCCGATTTCACATTCAACGCGTTGATGTCTGCAGTCACAAAAGAATATCGCGAAGAGGCCATCAAAGCTGAGGTCACCGTAAGAATACCAGCAAGTCCACCAGTATTCAGCATGACGCCCGAGGAACAGCACATGACGGCAACATCATTCGTCGACGACGTGAAAGCTATGGCAACGGTCACGGACGGCAAGGCAATCGAGTTCACTGTCACAACCATGCGGGGGCTACTGATACGAACGACACTACCACGAGGGCATCACATAAACACTATCAAGTCCAACTTCCTTATCTTCGCCAACAGCAAGGATGGAAACATAATCGTGAGACAAATGCTTATCGACCAGCAGCAGTACACGGACATGGGGATGCCAGTCACTATGACGCGCTCGCTCAAAGTCCTGGGCGTAATGGCGAACGATCGGAACGACTTCTCCCAGGAAGCTGCAACACGAGCACTTGCTCTAAAGGAGGCTACCACACCACTCCGAAAGACGGTGTTCAAGCGCGACAAGATCACGAACACGGCCAAGATCCATTACCTCAATGCTTTTGGCTACTCACGACTACTGTACAACGCAGGTACCTGGATACCTGCATGAAAACCCGACACGGACAGGATCACCACTGCCTACACATCGGCTGTGAGGATGGCATTGGGCATCGACCGCCAGACAACCCAGCGCGAGAAGATCACCAGCATCGAGGTCATCAGCTGGGCAAACATCGCGACACTATCACAACGACAACGGCAAGGAAGGCTACGGAAGATTCTGCGGCTCACCACCGCGTGCCCGACGGAACTCAGAGCCCGGCTGGACTGCGACATCGAAAACAACGGCAGATAGTCCACTACGATTGCAGACGACCTCCACCACATCAATACTTACACTAGCAAGCACCATAACACGCTCAACCACGACGACATACGCAACTGGATAGGCATGGCGAAAGACGAACCCTCCAAATTCAAGAGTGTAATCACACATTCCTACAAGGCAGCCATCGAGTTCAACAAAGAAAGAGCAGCCAACGCTGCATGGAAGCGACGCATCAACGACACCTGCAACGACACTAATACCCCGATGTCTGGCAGTGAAGTGCCTCAACACGACATCAGGTATCTATGCTACGAATGCGGGCAAATCCTGCACAGCAAGTCAGCGCATCAAAAGCACATGCGCGCGAACCACAGCCAACAGGAAAATATCATCAACTACATCCACGGGAATGCATGCCAGGTCTGCATGAGGGAGTACTGGACGGTCAACCGATTGTTCAAGCACATGTGCACCAGCCGACAGTGTGCATCACTCACCATGCAGTTCTGCAAGCGGCTCGACGATGACGTAGCAGACGCCATAGCCGAGGAGATACGGCGAATACGGCGGACCAACAAGAATAAAGGACGACCCGAAGACTACGCAGAACACCATTGCGTCCACCTCCACGGACCACCACTCGCACAACGAACAGGCGCGGACGACGAACGAACCACGATAATTCCTGTACCAGTTCTCCTGTCACCGCAAGCAGATGAAGAGCAAGACGAACGACGAGGACAGATGGAAGGCGCCCAGTCACGCGATCGGCGCCTACGCCACGCGCTGCCCGACACAATCGACGGTGATACATCGGAGGCAGGCAACGAAAGGCCAAATCGGACTTCGACAATTCTGCTCATCACCGACCAGAATGCCACCAGTGACGACATTATGCGCATCGTCAACGGCATCGAGCAGCAAACCGACGAGTACGATCACTTACCGTTGCGAACCACAAGAGTCAGACGCACAACGACAGAAGTCCCGACCACACGAGCAACGCTATTCACGAAGCTATACGGAATAGTACAATTGACGCCATCTACTACAAGAAGTCCATACCGAGCCTCGACAACAGCAAACGACTTTGCGATGAGCAACACCCGTGGGGGGGAAAAGACTCCAGCAGACAAGACTCAACAACCATCATGAATGACCACGCGAAGATACGGGACGCCATCTTCCTCATGTACACGTGCATCGCCAACGGCACGGCCTGCCGGATGAACGTCGGACCGATCACGACAACCGCCCCCCACGAACTACACCACCTGAAGAGCCACAACCTTGTCACCGTGACCGACCCCTTGATCACTAGCAAGCACTTCCAGTACACCAGCGACGGCGACGACGACACAACACGAACCCTGGCGGCAGCACGCGGAAGCAGCAACAACGACGCACAACAGACAGGCGGTGTTAACCGAATACGTGACCCACTACGACCGCTACTTCGGAGAGAGCGAGCATGATCAGCCCAACACCAAGAGATGAGACTCCCAGAGGGCCACGCACTGCCTCAGGAGCCAGACAGCACAGGACCCAGCAGGGTGGAAACTACGGCGACTTCCAGAACCACGACGACGTCGACCACGACCACCACCACGACCAGGGCCTCCCCGACGGCAACCACAACGCGACAGCGGGGAAGAGCAACACAGACGAGGAGAAGGACAACGACGGCTCGTCACCACAGCGCATCGCGCCGAAGGGCGGCGACAGCTCCCCTGACCCCCGCAGCGCCGCTGGCGCCGAAGGGCGGGGGACAGGGTCGGTCCAGAGAAACAGACAACAAATACCAAAAGCGGAGCCGCAGGCCACCCTGGCCCGGGCCCATGCCCACACGAGGGGCTCACGAGGGAGCCCCACGGCAACAGCAAACACGCGCCCAACAGCGACACCAGCCCCACGCAGAACAGGGTCGAGAACTCCCCCCTTCGGCGGTGAGCGTGCCGGCCCCTCAGGATACCCCAGGGGCGCAGGCGGCCGCGAGAGGGGCGAGGTCGACCCCGACAACTGACACCTGGTCCCGCGGGGGCCACGTGCAGGGGGCCGAGCCATCCCAAGATCCCAAGCTCCTCCCTCATAGGCCCATGTGGCCCTGCTCCCCGTTCCTCCTCGGGATCTCCCGGGGGCTCGGTCACCGCGTCGTAGAATGTGCCCCCCCCCCCCCTCCCGATTCCTTCCTCGCTTTTGCCTCTCGGCTGCCACCTTGGCTCTTTCCTGACGGGGGGGGGGCCCACACGTGCATAAGAATTTGGCCCCCCCACCATCATCCATCACCTCCGCGTCGCACTCGCGAGGAGGGGGTCGACTTCCATCATGGAGGTGGTAATCGGGGGGCTAAGAGACCTTGGCCTCGAGTCTTTGACTTGAGTTCCCTCGGACCCCGCCTCCCTCCTCCTCTGAGGCCCCCTGAGGATGTTTGAAGTTTTTTTCTTGTCCCTTGGCGGGGCCCCGGGCCCAGAGGCTGTTTCCTGAGGCTCCCACCTCCTGCCTCAGCCGCCGACTGAAGCAGGAGGGCGGGACATAGGTCCTGATGCGCGTGCTCGGTAAAAATCTGGGCGCGCCCACAGCGCGCGGCGCCTGCGCGCGGCGGCGCGCGCGCGAGCGCCGCGGGGCTACGGGGAGCGAGACCGCGAGAGGCCCGCAGCGCCAGGAGGAGGAGGATGCAGGCAACGCCCTACTCCCCCTCCTATCTCCTCCTCGGCTCCTCCGCCCCGCCGCGGGGCTCCGCGGCAGTTGGCGGCGGCCCGGGCGGATGCGCCCCAAAACAGATTTCCCTCGTCGAACCCATTAGAAGAGCACGTAGAAGAGGTAAGCGTTGTCGTATTCGGCGTCTTCGGCACTGGGCAAACGGAGTCCCTCGTCGAGCCCATGAGAAGAACACGTGGAACAGGTAAACGCTGTCGTGTTCGGCGGTTTCGGCACCGGGCGGAAGGGCGGGGGGGGAGGGGGGTGTCTGCCTCCGGACCTCTGTTTCGTGCGACAATTTGCAACAGTGCGTCCTATGGGGGAGACGCCACCCGCTTGAAATAGGCGCCCCAAACAGCCAAGATCTACACCATCGGGGGGGGAGGGAAGGGGGCTAGCGCCCGCGCCGATCGCCAAAGTAATGGAGAAGAAAACGATCACTAGTCACTAGATCCACGGAGATTGTAGGCAGTGGCGACGAGGGCCTCCCAGGAGGCCCAAAAGGCGCAAGTGAGAGGGGGGTCGCGGTAGCGGTGCCTTCTCCTCACGCGGCCTCGTCTCTATCAGAAGGCTGTAGTGACCGAGCCTGCGCTCGAAAAACCGCACAGTGGCGCCCGAATGTTTCCGGGTTTGGTCCGAGGCCATTGCGATTTCCAGCTTCGATCGCAATTTCGGTCACACTGATTACGGTTTCAGTCACACTTTCGGGTTCATGATTGGTCACATCTTTTTCCGGTCACGCACCTTTTTGGCTGACGGGGGTCGGCACCATGATGTTGCAGACGTTTTCTTATTCGGCGTTTCGACGTGGAGCGAAAGGGGGGGAGGGGGGGGGATCTGGCTCCAGACCTTTGTTTAGCGCGACTGTTTGGAACATTGCTCCCATGGGGAATCCCATGGGGAGGCGGGGCCCCCGTGCCTGCTCCACCTGCTCGAGACGGGCGCCAAAAACAGCCAAGATCTACCCCGTGGGGGGAAAAAAGGGGGGGGGGGGGGGGGGGCGAGGGCCCGCGCCGATCGGCAAAAACAAGGAAGAGGAGGAGGAGGAGGAGGAGGAGGAGGAGGGGAGGAGGAGGAGGAAGGAGGAGGAGACGAGGAGGTGGACGGAGGTGGAAGGAGGAGGGAGGAGGGAGGAGGGAGGAGGAGGAAGGAGGAGGTTGAGGAGGAGGAGGAGGAGGAGCATGAGCATGAGCATGAGCATGACCATCAGACAAAGTCTTGAAGAGAGGCCCTCTCCCCTGCTCAGAAGACGGACGAGACGAGGAAGCCCCACAGCGCGAACTATACGAAATACATGAGCTGACAAACATATAATCCCACCAATAGTGTGTGTTGCGATGTCAACCGAAACTGTGACAAACCCATTGCACACTCAGGTCCGAGATACACAGCTAGGCAGCGCTGACAGGATTGTGACTTCACCATTATTGCAGGTCCCTCGATACACAACACTAACTGCCAGACCAAACCATACCCATTGAATGCTGTGAGACGCCACGCCCGACGACTGCCGAACAAGGAAGAAGACGGCGAACATGACAGCACTTTGAACGCTCCATTGATGAACCACAAGCACCATAACTGACAGCCCACCACAAAACTGGAAAAAGGCTTCAACCACCGTAAATACAACAGACCCTCCCCAGGCGGAGATGGGAGATACCAACATGGTAGCTGATGACGCCCGGGCACAGACACTTTCGCCTCGCCCTTAGCCGACCCACGTCCCGTCGGAAATTCCGGAGCTGCGGGTAGCCCCAAGCACGCCGCGAGGAGGCGACGAGGCAGGTTTTATTGCGTGTTTGAGCCAAAAGGGAACAACGCGCCTTGGGCCCCATGTGCTTGGGAGGAAGAGGAGGAGGAGGAGGAGGAGGAGGAGGAGGAGGAAGAGGAGGAGGAGGAGGAGGAGGAGGAGGCAGGCGAGGCCCAATCCTCCTCCTACCTCCTCCTCCTCGGCACCTCCGCCCCGCCGCGGTGCTCCGCGGCAGCCTGCGGCTGCCCGGGCGGGGAGGCGGCGCGGCCCGGGCGGCCGCCTGGCGGCGGCGGGCAGATGGCCGATGCGCTCGCCTGCGGCCGCGCCAGGTCCACCGGCATGCGGAGCTTGGCGCGGGAGCGCAGCTCGAGGCCCTTGTCCTAAGATGGCGGAGAGATTTTTGAAGGGGCCCAAGGACACACACACACACACATGAATCCACACAAATGTCAGTATCCCCCGTACGTTTCGATGTGTTCTGGATTTCCGTCTTCCGCCCCACTGCCCATATGTTCCCATATGTTCCTTGGAATCGACGATTAATTGTGTCTGTGTGTTGTTCCCCTCCTGAATCTTGGCGGCGCGCAAAGGGGCGTAGGGGGAGAAGGGAAGGCCTCTTGGAAGGAGGCTGCTTCTCAGGAGGCGCCGGCCTTACATCTGCAGAGGGAGCCCCGCGCCTTCTGAGAAGCAGGGTGCTTCCAAGAAGCTTTCCCCCCTCCCCCTGCCGCCCTTCTGCGCGTGGCTGAAGATTACGGGCCCACAAAATTAGGTCGGACATGTCCTCTTACATGCAGCTGGGCGAAACGCAACGCATAGTCAAACATAATGAAAAACCTAAAGAAAAAATGTCGGCAGCAATCGCCCCTGGACTATTTCAGGACTGTTGCTGAAGATTCGTCCTGTAGAGGGACATGCCCGATTGAATACTAGAGGGCGGGGAGACTAAAAGTGGCCCAAAAGTATACACCATCACCACCATCCTCTGCCACTCCCTCTCCCAGGAAGCAGGAGGGGAGTGGGAGGGTGGAGGAAGGAGGGGGCATGCGGCGGGTGGTGGTGCCGATTCTTAGGACCCGCAGAGATCTGCAGAGTCAAGATTGATCGCAGGGATGCGCGATCAGGATGCAAGCCCCTCGGACGACCACGTCGAGGCTTCTCGAGTGGGGCTGGCCATCGGCAGTGGTGCAGGATGGACAGAAGAGGTTCGGGGATCGACTGACCCGAATAGATCCAGACCCGGGTCAATCGTGCCTTGCAGGATACTGCAAGAACCCGCAGGATCCTGCAATGTCCTGCAACCGAACCGAAGCCAATGCAACCCTGGCTCTGCAGGATGCTGAAAGATCCGGCGCTCTGACTGACCCCCATTTGCATTGACCCCCGTCTCTTGAGCCCCGAGAGGCAAGGATGCAAGGGTATCCGGTGCATCCTCAGGAAGGTTACCCCCATCCTTAGCGCCGATTCCGACTCTACATGCCCACTGCACCTGGCCAGGCCCCTCCTGGGCCCGGGAGCGATGCATCCGCCATGGAGACATGCATACAGAGACAGAAACATGATTTCTCTGAGGTCCGCAGTTTATGTTTGTGCAGTTATCTGCACTTCGAATACAGGTACACCGCTCCTGGGCCCAATATGGGCCTGGCCAAGGGCGCGTGACATGGACAAACAGACATGCGACGTCGTGATGTTTTCGGTACGCGTTCTGGGAAGTCCCGACCCGTTCCCCAGGGCCGCTTTTTCATCCCGAGTCGTTAGTTGGAGGTCCTGGGGCCTGGTACCGAAAATGTAGGGAAGCCTCCGACCTGATGATTTTCAGGACGCTGCATGTCTGGGTGTATAGACCTCGTCGCCCGATGTCCACGGCGTAGGGGTTGGTCACTGGGCGGCCCCTGAGGTTGGCGACCCACAGGGCGAGGACCAGAACGAGGCACGCCGCCACGGCGGCGGCAGCCTTCCACACCCAGCCGTACCTGCCGACGCACCTGCCGCCCACCAGCTGGAACGAGATGGCGCACTCGGCGCACCGGTCCGTGCCGTCCCCGGCGCAGCGCTGGCAGCCCTCGACCCAGCAGGAGCGGCAGATGCCCCACTCGGGGTCCGCCACGGTCGCCCCCGGATTCGCGGCAGCGCACGCCTGTGCTGCAGCAGGCGTCGGCAGAAGCACACAGTCGGACCGGTTTGGGGAGGACGCGCGAGAGGACACGAGACCCTTCCGGGGGGGCCAGTCCCGCTGCAATGCAGGAGGCACGGGTCGCGAGACACAGGACACCAGGGTACCCTGGCAAGGCCGACCCACTCATCAGGGCCGACCGTAAAACTTCCAGAAATCCGAGCGGACTTCTTGAGTCGGCGATGGGAACCGCTCCAGGGACGACGCCAGATGTGCCGCCAGGGGAGGCGTCCAGCGCCGATCCAAGAGAGCTGCACGAAGCTCCGAACGTTCATGTCTGACCGGGATAGGTCTTTGGGACCAGAAAACAAACGACACCACCCCACCTGCGGCTCTAAGGGGCTTGGCGCATACCAGGAAATCTGGCGTAGGGTTTTGCGTGGTATACGCTACGGCCCCCGATCGGCCGTACAGTCGGGGCGTTGACATAAGGAACCCTAAATTCGCCGGCCCAACGGGCCAGAGGCGTGCTAAGATCTCCGGTAACTGGTAAACAGTATTTCTAGTTCGCGCGCGCGGGGCGGCCCCTGGGGGTCCCTGGATCAAAAGTACCCCGGGCGGAGCCCGGGCGGATCCCGGGACACTCCCCCAGATCCTCCAGGATCGCCCCAAGAGGGCCCCAAGAGGCCCCCAACACAATGCAAGAGAGGTCCGAGACGCCCGAAGATCGCTCCACGGCGCCCAAGATGGCCTCCAGACGGCCCAAGACGTCTCCAAGATCCCAACAAGCCTCCAAGATGCCCCAAGAGACCTCCAGGAGCACTCCCAAGAGGGCCCCAAGAGGCAAAAATCAATGTTTTTTTCTTTGGTTTTGGACAGATTTCGGCGTTGTAGCCTTTTCGGTTCCCCGACGCCCCTAAACGGCTCAAGAGGCCTCCAAGATCGCCCCAAGAGGGCCCAAGAGGCCCTCAAAAGGGCCCCAAGACGGCCCAAGACGGCTCCAAGACGGCCCCAGAGGCCTCCAAGACGGCCCAAGACGGCCCCAAGAACGCCCCCAACACGGTCCAAGAGAGGTCCGAGACGCCCGAAGATCGCTCCACGACGCCCAAGATGGCCTCCGGACGGCCCAAGACGTCTCCAAGATGGCCCAAGAAGCCTCCAAGATGCCCCAAGAGGCCTCCAAGAGAACTCCCAAGAGGGCCCCAAGAGGCAAAAACCTGTGTTTTTCCTTTGGTGTTGGACAGATTTGGGCGTTGTAACCTTTTCGGTTCCCCGACGCCCCTAAACGGCTCAAGAGGCCTCCAAGATCGCCCCAAGAGGGCCCAAGAGGCCCCCAAGAGGGCCCCAAGACGGCCCAAGACGGCTCCAAGACGGCCCCAGAGGCCTCCAGGACGGCCCAAGAGGGCCCCAAGAACGCCCCCAACACTACACAGCTCCCGACGCCGCAGCTCCACACTGCAAACGACCACTCGGTCAGGCGACCACGGTGCATTATGGGCCGGCGGAATGAGCGAAGCAATTAAATAAGGAACGAGGCCCCTTTTCTCCCATAAGTTGAACTTCGATTTCCCATGGAAAACCTCAGGAAAACAGAAGGTAAACTGTAGAACAATCAAGGAACACCGAGCCCCTCCCCAACGAAAAGGGTTCCTTCTGCAGGGCCCCGGCTGTAGCGCAACCTGGAAGGCCGCAGGTGGGGTGGTGTTGTTTGTTTTTCGCTCGATCTTTAGAATCCCCCCAAATAGTTGGAAGCTTTCTTTTCGGCGACCTTATTGACGGACTGGGGTCCCACCATTAGTAACAAACATTATTCCTCCGCGGCACCCGCCGCAAAACGCCGACGCCGACGCCGACGACGACGCCGACGCCGCCGCCGCCGACGCCGACGCCGACGCCGACGACGACGACGACGCCGCCACCGCCGACGATCACGACGCCGACAACGACGACGACGACGACAACGACGACGACGACGACGACGACGACGACGACGACGACGACGACGACGACGACGACGACGACGACGACGACTACGACTACGACCTCGATGCGACTACGACTACGTCTACGACGACTTCCTCCGTAGGAACGAGACGAGGAGGAACAGGAGGAGGACGCGGAGGAGGAGGAGGAGCAGGAGGAGCAGCAGGAGAAGGAAACGGAGGGGGGGAGGACGAGGAGGAGGAGGGGCAGCAGCAGGAGGAGACGGGGCGGAGTTCGTTCCCCGCCAAGAGAAGCAAGGTGGGGGAGAGTTCAAAACTGAAGACCTCCCTCCGTTGTGCCCTTGTTCCAAACTGCGCAACAGCATAACAAAAAGCTCCCGCCTGGTCAGAAGGACTGCGCCTTCTGAGACGCCTGCCAACTGTTTGCTGATGTGGCTACGTTCCGCCTTTGGGGACGACGCTCGGGCAACTTTTGTCTTCCATGAGCACCGCTTATCCGACCCCTTTTCCCAGCGGCGTGGCCTGGGCCCCACTGGCCGGTTTGCCCCCCTGGGTGGGAATACAGGCCGTTCCCTTCGGGTCTCGAGGGGTGTATCCCCGACTGGAGGGGGTTTAATCTGGTGGGGGCCTCGAAGGGGATGGGGGATGGGGACGGGGGCCGCTTAAGCGCTACCGACTCCGACGCCTGGGCGGAGCTCTCCACGCATCGGAAGACGCAGCCGCGGGCGCCGCCGCCCTGCAGGTCCTCCTGGTGCAGCGGGCAGGCAGGCACCAGACGGGCACACACGGCGAGGGCATCAGATAAGGAAACCTTCGATCAGGAATCCAGGGCTTGGAAGCCAGCGGAACACCAATCGTGGAGTGGCCATGGATATCACCGCCGCCCTCAGCCGATAAGGAATCATCCAGGGTCTGGCGCCTCCTGGGACTATTCCTCAACAAACGCCCCCACCTAGGGGAACGAAAAATGACATAAACATAAAAACTCGGAGGTCCGCGCGGATTTCTCGGATCGGCGCTGGATCCCCCTCTCTGGCGCGCGGAGCGCGCCAGGGGCGGCGCTGGAGCGAGAAATCCGCGCGGACCTCAGAGTTTTTATGTTTATGTCACTTTTCGTTCCCCCACCACCGTATCGGATCGGACCCGAACTGCGCGTCGCGTCGAGCCGCACCGGCACGGCGTCGAGAGCGAATCGGCACGGGGTCTGCGCGCCAGAAGCCTCGGCAGCGCCGTGCAGGCCTCGGGCAGACCTCTCTGCTCACCGGAGCGTCGGGCTCGAGATCGGCATCGGGCCGCCTCGGCTCGCCGCAACGTCGGGATCGAAATCGGCATCGAGTCGAATCGGATCGTCGGGAGCGTCGGGATCGAATGCGGTCGGCGTGTCCCCCTGCAGGGAGATTCGGGTAGAAGCTTCGAATCAGAGTGAGGGAGCCGAACGGTCATTCATTGTCCCTGGGTGCGTGGCTGAAATGAGAATCCGTGGTGAGGATTATTATGCTTGTTGCGTTGTTGTTGTTGCTGTTGTTGCTGCTGCTGCTGTTTTTGTTGTCGTTGTTATTGGTGTTGTTGTTGGTGGTGTTGTTGATATTGTTGTTGGTGTTGTAGTAGTTGTTGTTGCTGCTGCTGTTGTTGTCGGTGTTGTTATTATTGTTATTGGTGCTGGTGTTGTTGTTGCTGCTGTTGTCGTCGTCGTCCCACCCGCGACCCACCCCGCGACTCACCCCGCGACCCACCCCGCGACCCACCCCGCGACCCACCCGCGACCCACCCCGCGACCCACCCCGCGACCCACCCCGCGACCCACCCCGCGACCCACCCCGCGACCCACCCCGCGACCCACCCCCGACCTACCCCGCGACCCACCCGCGACCCACCCGCGACCGATCCACACTGGTTCGAAGAAAAAATCGGCGCCTGCGGCGGGCTTGTTGTATACTTTGTGAAATTTTGGCGCCTGCGGCGGACTTCTCCAGAGTCTCGCAGACTGTTGACGTCCCCACACCCCCTCACTCTTATCCACATCTGCGGGGTACGACGTATTTGTTATATACGTATATGAATCAAGAAAGCATTACACATTGCCCAACAACCCAAAAGCACGAAAACGCGTCACCAGACTATCTGTCTACCGTTCTTGCATATCCCCCCTGTCGAGGGACATGTCCAACTCCAGGATCGAATCGGACCGGACCGGCTGGCACCGCCACCGAATCGGATCGATCGGCTCGAGATGGACCCTGCCTTTGGGAAAACAAAAGGTACCGATACCGCTACTCCCTGGACCTCTCCCCGGGTGCGGTCTGACCTGGACTTCGAGGCGTATCCAGCGGTGGCGATGAGGGCCTCCCAAGAGGCCCGCAAAGGAAAAACCCGGTGAAGGGTAGAGGCATGGTTATGTCGGGCGTGTCCCCCTACAGGGGGGTAGGACGAAAAATAAAAAATACCCCCAAAATGCCACAAAAAGGTCAAACAATACTAAAAAAATAGTCCCCAGACTATTTTTGACATTTTTTTGTTATTGTTGGGGTATCTTTTATTTTTCGTCGAACCCCCCCCCGTAGGGGGGCAGGTCCGACTTAAAGGTATGGGTACCTTTCCTCCTCTGAGAATCGGAGCGGACCGGCCGGCGCCGCCACCGAGTCGGACCGATCGGCTCGAGATGGGCCCTGCCTGGTACAGCGGGCACGCCGCGGGGCACCGTTCCCCCGCGCGGCTGCCCGAGTCGGCCGCGCGGGGCGCCCCGCAGGCCGCGTGGCGCGCCCGCGGGTACAGGCTGTCCAGCTGCCCCGGCCGCCGCGGGCCGAGCCGGCCGGCCTCTCGGAGGCCCCAAACCCCCTCGCGCGGCGAAGAAACACGACGGAAGGGGCCTCCTGCTCCTCCCCTCCTCCTCCTCCTCCTCCTCCTCCTCCTCCTCTCCTCCTCCCTCCTCCCTCCTCTCCTCCTCCTCCTCCTCCTCCTCCTCCTCACTTCCCTCCTCCTCCTCCTCCTCCTCCTCCCTCCTCCTCAGCCCTCCTCTCCTCCCTCGCTCTCCTCCTCCCTCCTCCTCCTCCTCCGTCCCTCCCCACCGTCCTCCTCCCTCCTCCTCCTCGCCTCCTCCCTCCTCCCCTCCTCCTCCTCCTTCTCCTCCCCCTCCTCCTCCTTCTCTCCCTCCTCCTCCTCCTCCTCCTCCTCCTCCTCCTCCTCCTCCTCCTCCTCCTCCTCCCCTCCTCCTCCTCCTCCTCCTCCTACTCTACAAGGAACCACGAACCAGGAGGGGCCCTCTTCCAGGGAGGGGTTGGCCCAGACCCCCATCGCGCTGTGAAGAACATGGAGAAATGAAAAGAACAACAAAAAAACGACGGGAGGCCTTTCGCCATGCTCGGCCTCTGGAGGCCCTCGGGACCGTCAAGGAACGACCCGTCGGGGGCCCGGAGGGGCCCAGTCGGGACAGCGGCGGCCCTCCCTGGGGGCTGGCTCGTCCTCTCCGGGCCTCCCCCGGGAGGCTACTCGTCGCCGCGGCGAGAGCCGCGTCGAGGAACAAGGCAGGACGGGCCCCCAGGAGGGGTCCAGGGGCCGAGCTTGACCCAGACACGCGACCGTCCTGCTTTGTTCCAGACGAGGTCCCGGGAAGGCCCGCACCTTTCCCCAGGGTCAATTTTTCATCCCGAGCCGACGTTGGACGGTCCCGGGGCCCAGCAAGGGCCCCCAGAGGCCGAAGAGTTGGGGAAAATCGCAGTCAATGTTTCTGCCAGGACGTGGCCTGTCTGGGGAACACATTTGCGGCGGCGAGTCCCCAGGGGGGAATGGGAGGGGGCGGGTCTTCTCAGAAGACAACGGGGCCTCTCAGAAGACCTCGCGCTTCTGTGAAATGTCATCAGCCTTCCCCAAAAACAGAAACCTCTTCTCAAAGGCCGGAGGGCTTCGGAGAAGCCCCGCCGCCTTCTGCGAACGCCTCCCCAATCGGAACCCACATCGGAATCCCAAGCCGAACCGAATCGGCATCGGAGGCCACCGAGATCGAATCGAATCGAAGCGGGGAATCGACATGAGCCCATGTGAGGGTCCCCAGTGCACCGTCGGCGAGGCATCGGCGCCGCCGGCCTCGAAGGAAAGCCGGGCTCCACGCCGAGCCGCGTCGGCGGTGCATCGGCGACGCGGCGCGGCCCTCCGACCGCCCACCCCAGCTGCGTTCGGATCAGAGGGGCCCGGGGGGCACACAGAGCAGGAGACGCGGATCCCAGGATGCCCCCCCTAATTTTCGAGACGTTCTGGGTTCTCGTCTCCCCACGCACACTTCCCATGCGTTCTGATATTTTCCTGGGGATCGGCGGTCAGTTGTGTCTGTGTGTGCTTTCCCCTCCTGGATATGCTTCGACCCCACCTGGGAGACCTCGACTCTCGCTTCCCCCCTGGGCTCGCCGCCGCGACTTGGCCCCGGCGGGACGCACAAGGACATGCCAATACTTTTCGTGCCCCCGTTGCAGACGCGCGCCCGACCCGAACATGTATGAACAAAACTCCTGCAGCACATCGCCTCCCGAGCGGTACGGCCAAACAACGCCAGGCACGGCGCTGATGCCCGTAGATTTCCGAGCGTGCGCGTCGGCCTTGCGTGGCCGACGCGTACATAGTTTGGAGGCGGCCAGGGGATCTGAGCTGGATAAAACCCAAAAAAAACATGACCAGGAGGGGGGGACGAGACCAAGTGCGCTCAGGGTCGGTCCCCGGACCCCGGGTGCATTTAATACAGCGCTTCATCCCGGAGAAGTGTTTGACTGTCCGTGGGGCCCGACAGCCGCCCCAGGAGGCCAAAAGGCAAATAATCGATTGTGGACCCCCCTCCTCCTCCTCCTCCTCCTCCTCCTCCTCCTCCTCCTCCTCCTTTTCCTTTTCCTTTTCCTTTTCCTTTTCCTTCTCCTTCTCCTCCTCCTCCTCCTCCTCCTCCTCCTCCTCCTCCTCCTCCTCCTCCTCCCCCCCCTGCTCCCCTCCTCCTCCTCCTCCTGCTCCTCCTCACCCTCGTTTTCATATTCGTCGTCTTCAGGGTCGGCGGCACCGGCCGTAAGGCCTTCGCAATAATCGATTGTGGACCCCAAACGGTGTGTCCACTGTGGACCCAATGAGCAATCCCTGTGAACCAAGCCATATGGCTCAATCCACGTTGTGCAGTCCATGTTGTGCAATCGATATTGTGCAAAATTGGTGTAGCAATAAACGTGGTGTACGCAGTGCAGCATACGTTGTGCCATCCACGGTGTGCTATATATATATATATATATGTATGTATGGTGCAGCCTATGAGGTGCAATTAATCTTTGACCGTCTTGAAGCTGTCCTCTCCGCTGTTCGTGCAAATATCCCTCCCTCCCACCCGCAATTTGGTCGCAAGACCTCTTAAGACAAGACCGTGACGGTACGTACCACATGACCCTTGGCCACGACACCGACGCCGACGACGACAGCGACAACGACGACGACGGCGACAACGACGACGACGGCGACAGCGACAACGACGACGACGGCGCCGCCGACACCGACTATGACGACACCGACGACGTCTCCAACGACTTCGACGACGACAACGACGACACCAACGACGACGACGACGACGACGACGTCAACGACGCCGACGACGACGACGGCGACTACGACGACAAGTGCAATTCACTTGCCGAACTTGAAGTTGTCAGCTCCGCTGTTCGCGCAACCATCCCACCCACCCACCCGCAACTGGGTTTGCAAAGCCCATGCATTGCGATGAATGCCGCGCTAGCCCGCGCATGCTCGCGCACGCAGCGGCAAGCTACTTTGGCGCGACCGACGCGAACGCGGTGGCGCTGACCGATGGGCACATCCCCGCGGGTAAGTGAGTGCGAGTCGGCGACTCGGGCGGGCGCGGTATCATGGCAACGTCGACAACGCTAGAGACAATGATGACTGGAGCGATGCTGGTGACACTGCTGACTTCGCCGACGGGGCAACCAGTGACGGCGCCGATGCGAATCACGCCGACGACGATAACGGCGTCCTCGAGTGGGTGATGAGGGTTTTGGAAGGAATTCGACATGCGCTTGCGGCAGACGCGAAAAGTGGCTCGCATGGTATTGTTTGAGACGGATCGTACCACCCCACAGCACGCGCGCAAAGGGCGCCCGAAGGGTTTCGACATGCGCGCGCGAAGCCCGTTTGACAGCATGTTGTGGTAATGTTGAATTACAAGTCTTTCTAAATATATACGTGTATATATATATATAGAAACAAAACAAAAACAAAAACAAAAACGAAAGAACGCGCGCGCGCACGTTTTTGTTGATAATCCGTGTTGCGAAACCCAGTGCTTTTTGTTTGGAAAATGTTGTTTGGATATTCGGTTTTGAAATCCTTCCGAAACCTAAGGTTGTTGAAGGATTTCGGCACGCGCGCGCGACCACGCGCGCGTGTGCACTTCGCCCCACTGTTTGGCAAGAAATTCTTAACACTCTATGTTTTTTATAAGCGAATGCGCGCGCATAGTATTGTTTGCAAAGGCTGGCGGGGGGGACCGATACCGGCCTGGCTGGGATAGTATGAACTCACAAGTAAGATGGGCATTGGGTCAGAATCTTACGGGTTTTGCATAGGTTCCCAAGGTATCGATCAGTCTGGGGGGCAGGGTGGTAGAACCTATTCTTTCTTTAGAAAGGAAAATCAAATTCTGTCTCCAGGGAAATGTCAACTCCATTCCTCGCGCAATCATCCCACCCACCCACCCACAACTTGGCTTGCATAAGCCCCTGCGGCGGCAATTGCGGTGAGTGTTTGGTGTTGGCTGGTGCATGTTTGCGGCCGCGCTAGCCCACGCATGCTGGCACGCGCAGCGGCCAGCTACTGTGGCGCGACCGACGCGGCCGCGGTGGCGCTGACCGATGGGCACTTCCCAGCGGGCACTGCAGTGCGAGTGGGCGACTTGGGTGGGCGCAGTATCAGGGCAACGTCGACAACTGTAGACACGAAGATGATAGTAGCAATGTTGGTGACGATGATGACAACGACGACGGCAAGGCCAATGACTTCGCCGATGCTGATCGCGCCGACGACGATAACGTCGCCCTCGCGCCGGTGATGAAAAACATGTTGTTGGAACGAGTTCAACATGCGCGCGCGGCCGACGCGAGAGAGTGTCCCGCATGGCACTATTGACTCAGATCGCGTTCCCCCGGGACGCGCGCAAGGCCGCTCGAATAATGATTTCGACATAGTGCGCGAGAGGCCCGCTTGGCAGAAGTCAATGAACATGTAAAACAATAGTTTGTATGTTTAATATGCTCATAAGAATTCGCAAAGCTCGATCGCAGTTTTTTTGGTAGGAAAACTGACAACGCAAACATATGTTGCAAAATGCTTTCTGGATACTCGATTTCGAAACCTACGGTTTTTGGAGGATGTCGGCGTGCGCGCGCGATGACGCGCGCGTGCGCATGTCGTCCCACTGTCTGCAAAGGATTATTGTGACAACACGCGCGCAGGGGCGTTCGAACGACTTCGACATGCGCACGCGAGAGATTCGTTTGGAAATATGCTATGAGAATGTTTAAAAAGATGGTTTCTAATAGATCGCAAGAGCGCGGGCGCGAAAACATGCGCTCATAGATGCTCCCGGGACACTCGATGTTGAATCCCTTGCGAAACCATGTGTTTGAATGATTTAGACATGCGCGCCCGGCGACGCGCGTTTGTGCACGTCGCCCCATTGTTCAGCAAAAGACGATTAACAACTGCGGATAGTTGATAAACGAGTGTGCGCGCATAGTCCTTTTTGTAGATGACGAGGGGGGGCGATACCGGTCTGCTTGGCAAGGTGTGAATTCAGATTAAGGATGGACGATGGGGCAGATCATGTGCAAATTGCAACACGAAAAGGGGCACCGTTAATTCCAGAGGGGGAAGTTAGATTGCTCGCTTAGGGGGGAGAACCTATGTGGTGCGCAATATATGTGGTGCAATCGACGTGGTGCAATCTGTGTGGTGCAATCAATATTGTGCAACCTATGTGTGCAAACTATGTGGTGCAATCAACGTGGTGCAATCTATGCGACGCAATCGATGTGGTGCCATTTACGTCGTGTTATCTAGGCGGCGACGGGGCGGCGACGGCGACCACGGAGCCGCCAGACCGACACCCAGGCCCACACGACGGGCGGCGACGAGGCGGCGACGGGGCAGCGACGGCGAGCATAGCGCCGACAAACCGACACCCAGGCCCAGACGACGGGCGGCGACGAGGCGGCGACGGGGCGGCAACGGCGAGCATGGAGCCACCAGACCGACACCCAGGCCCAGTACTTCTGAAAAAACGTCCAGACCCCAAGTTCAAGCACCGTTTGGTGAACCTTCCCGAACCCAGGACCTCGAACCTAAGAGCCAGGGCTGGACCACCTCAGACCCACAGCCGGTGTTATCATACATGGCCGATTCCTGAAACCCTGAAGCCAAAAATGCTGTCAGCCTCAACCGCAATTTGGCGACACATTTCAAACCGCAATCGGGCGCGCAAGCGCAACTGGGCGACGCATTCCAATCCGCCCGCGGGCGCGCAACCGCAACCGCAACTGAGCGCCACATTTCGACCCGCCCGCGGGCGCGCAACCGCAACCGCAAGTGGGCGACACATTTCAACCTGCCCGCGGGCGCGCAACCGCAACCGCAACCACGCGGCGCATTTCGACCCGCCCGCGGGCGCGCAAGCGCAACTGGGCGACACATTTCAACCCGCCCGCGGGCGCGCAACCGCAACCGCACCTGGACGACACATGTCAACCCGCCCGCGGGCGCGCAACCGCAACCTCAACTGGGCGACACATTTCAACCCGCCCGCGGGCGCGCAACCACAACTACGCGACACCTTTTCGACCCGCCCGCGGGCGCGCGACCGCAACCGCACCTGGGCGACACATTTCACCCCGCCCGCGGGCGCGCAACCGCAGCCGCAACTGGGCGACACATTTCAACCCGCCCGCGGGCGCGCAAGCGCAACTGGGCAACACATTTCAACCCGCCCGCGGGCGCGCAACCGCAGCCCCAACTGGGCGACGCATTTCAACCCGCCCGCGGCGCGCAACCGCAACCGCACCGCTCACCTGCCGCCCTCCTCGCCTCCAGGGGATCTGAGGCGGAGGAAGGGTGGGAGGGAGGGGGGAGGGAGGAGGGAGGCGGGAAGGAGGAGGAGGAGGAAGTAGGGAGGGAGGGAGAGGAGACGGAGGGATGGTAGAGAGCTCACAATGATTGGGGGGGGACAGCTTCTGCCCCCCCCCCCCGTTCCACGCAAATGGATCTTCACAAGGCTCCAGACACTGGATTCCTTATTCAAGGCCTCCACGGTCTGCTAGCGGGATGAGCGGGTTAACCGGCTCCGAGGGGGGGGGAGGCTTTGACAGGAGCGGTCCGCTGCACCGCCTAGTTTGAAGTTGGGGGGGCGATGCCGCGGGAATCGATTGCGCGTTCACCCACGCGCAAGCTGCCCGCGGATGTAGGTGCATCGGCGCCGTCTGATTCACGCAGCCTGCCGCGTCTTATTCATGATCTGGCGCAGGAGCAGGTGGAGGAGGAGGGTGGGGGGGGGCGAGAAGGAGGTAAGGGAGGAGGAGGAGGAGGAGGAGGAGCAACAACAGGACGAGGATGAGGAGGAGGAGGAGGAGGAGGAGGAGCAGCAGCAGGACGAGGAGGAGGAGGAGGAGGAGGAAGACCAGGATGGCCAGGAGGAGGAGGAGGACGAGGGGGAGGGGGATGCCAGGGTGGCGCCGCCCGAGAAGGTGCACGAGCAGGTGCTTGTTGCGGAGGACGGGGGAGGATGAGGTGGTGGACGTCAAGGAGGATATGGGCGTAAAAATGGATGTCCTCCTCGCGGCCTCCGGGCGTGACCCGCGGTTTTCCGCCGGGACATTGCAGCGGGGAATCCCCATTCCACGCTGCTGCCCCTGATTTCTTCTTCGATAAATATAATCTACATGCGCTTGGGCGGCAAGAAAGCCCAGAATCGAATCGATAAGTCGGATCTGCGATCGAAATGAATCGGATCGGCGGAAATCGGCAGCCGAGCCGAGATAAGTCGAATCGGCGGAAATCGGCAGGCTAGTATATGCGTCCAGTTAGGAAATCGAAAACCAAATATCGGAATCCCAAGTCGAATCGAATCGGAATCGGAAGCCATCGAGATCGAATCGTATCGAACCGGAGGAGTCGAAACTGGTGAGACCAAAAGGCACCGATACTGTTACTCCCCCGACCTCTCCCAGGGTGCGTTCTGACCAGGATTACGAAGCGAACCCAGCGGTGGCGACTCAGTGGCGACGAGGGCCTCCCAGGAGGCCCAAAAAGGGGAAAACGGGCGGGGGGGTAAAGGTACGGGTACCTATTCCTCCTCTGAGGATCGGAGGAGTCGAAACGAGCCCTGTTACGTGTGCTCGGGTGGTGCCGACCTGGCGGGAGAGCCACGGCCGCCGTTGAGCAGGGACCGACCGTCCCGGCATTCCTATAGGCCTACCACGACATGTTCTCAGAACCCAAAAATGTTCTAAGAACAAAAACAATGTTCTTACAACCTAAGCCCGATGTGCTAAAACAAAACAGACCCAGCCAGAATAAAAACATTTCGTGGAAACCACAAACGGTTCTTAGAACATTGTTTGGTAGGCCTATTGGCGAGCCAGGACGCTTCGCCACTGCTTGACGCCGAGGCCTCCACCGCCAGCAGGGCCGAGCGGTTCGGCGGCGGCCGCGCCGCTCGCGGCCGCGGCTCGGCCTCCACGGCGGCGCCTCCCCGGGCCGACCGACGGTCCCGGAGCTCTTGCGGGGCCCAGCTTCCACCACCGCTGCCCCTCGGCAGGAGGAGGAGGAGGAGGAGGAGGAGGAGGAGGAGGAGGAGGAGGAGGGAGGAGAAGGAGGAGGAGGAGGAGGAGAAGGAGGGCGGAGGAGGAGGAGGAGGAGGAGGAGGAGGAGGAGGTGAGGAGGAGGAGGAGGGAGGAGGAGGGAGGGAGGGAGGAGGAGGAAGGGTGGGAGGAGGGAGGAGGGAGGAGGGAGGAGGAGGAGGAGGAGGAAGAGGAGGAGGAGAAGGACGGAGGAGAAGGAGGAGGAGCAAGAGGAGGAGGAGGAGGAGGAGCAGGAGGAGGAGGAGCAGGAGGAGGACGGAGGAGGAGGACAGGACAGGACAGGACATCCGCATGAGGGGGTCAACGTCAATGCGCCCGCTAAGGTGCAGTGTAGGACCTCCTCATCCTCCCTTCTCCCCCGTCCTTCATGTGGCAGCGGTGGTGGAAGACTTGCCCATCATCTCTGGCGATCTGATTTCTCCGATCCAGGCGCTTCTCCTCGAGCTCAGCATTCGGCCCAGAGAGGCTCCGAAACAATCGGGGTGGCAGGTCTGGGCCCACTTTCGGGCTCTCTGGGGGCCCTCATCGCGTGAACCAACTACCCGGGACGAAAGACCAGCCCTGGGGAAGTTGTCCAGACCTCCAATGGCCCACGCATCGAAATAATGGGAGCGCCGGATGTCTGAGGGGGGCCGTTTCCGGGCCTCGGGGCCATCAAACACCACATGGGCTCGGCACGGAAGACGACCCCCCTGGGGAAGCGGTCAGGAGCTTCTTTGGGAAGCAACCCACAAGTACCGATACCACCACTCCCCGGACCTCTCCTGGGGTGCGTTCTGACCAGCACCTCGAGGCGAATCCAACGGTGGCGACGAGGGCCTCCCAGGAGGGCGGAAAAAAGGGGCCAAGGGTAGTGGTACGGGTACCTTTCCCTCCTCCGATGCTTGGGGCCACGGATGGAAAAATCGGCGGGTGCCAGGCCAGGGGTGCGCGCACGCCAGCGCCGAGCTGGGTCGGGCCAGTCCTGAACAGCCTCTCGGGATCGGTTTTCGCGCCTTCCTGGCCAATTCAGCACGGGGGCGGTGCGCACGCCTGAGCCGCAGCGTGTGGGAGGGGGGGCACCAGCTTAGGGAGGACACATCAATTTCCTCCTCCTCCTCCTCCCTCCCTCCCTTCCTCCCTCCCTCCCTCCCTCCCCTCCCCTCCCCCCCCTCCCTCCTCTCCTCTCCTCCTCCTCCTCCTCCTCCTCCTCCTCCCTCCTCCTCCTCCTCCTCCCTCCCTCCCTCCCTCCCTCCCTCCCTCCCTCCCTCCCTCCCCCCTCCCCCCCTCCCCTCCCCCTCCTCCTCCCTCCTCCTCCTCCTCCTCCTCCTCCTCCTCCTCCTCCTCCTCCTCCTCCTCCTCCTCCTCCTCCTCCTCCTCCTCCTAGCCGTTCTGGCACAATCCATTTTGGGGCATGCGATCACCGATCTTCTGAACGGCTGGGTGTTCGCGGGCCAGAGTGGCTCGGACCCCCCTTTTCCTCACGGCGGCGCTGCGATGGCTTTTGGTGGCAAGCCTCGTAGCGGCTACGACGCAACCAAGAAGTGGACTTGCGGGTATTGCGGATGCCGCAAAAACATGGGTCACTACTTGTGGTGCAAGCACTGCGGCAAGAAGTGGACTGAGACCGTGCCAGGAGACGGGCAGGCCAGAGGAGGAGGAGTTCCCCGTGGAGCGGCTGCTGCTGAAGTCCGTCGTGCTGCAGCAGACGCAGTGTCGGGAAAGACTCCACCCGTGCGGCCTGCCACCGTCCCGACTGCGACCAAGACGGAGTTGCAGCAGCTGGTGGAGCTCAGCGCCAAGGTGGGGGACGCCTCCCTGCTCTCCTTGGCGCAAGAGAAGGTGGCCCAGTTGGAACAAGCCCCTCTGCCCCCGCAGCAACGGGCAGATGCGGCTTTCAAGGAGATCCAGAGGCTCGAGAAGAAGCTGGATCGCGACCTGGACCACGTCCACGGCCTCGAGCGGAAGCTGGCTCAGCAGCGCGCAGACCTGGAGGCCACGCTGCAGGAGCTGGAGCGCTACGATGAGGAATACAAGTCGGCCATCTCAGAGTTGCACCTGTCGGTCACGCTCCACCCGTCGCAGCCACAGGAGGGCCCAGCCGCCCCAGTGTTGCGCCTGCAGGACATACTGGATGGCAAGGTGTCCCCTCTCGTGCTGGACGATGGCGACATGTTCGGGTTGGCGGAGTTTCAGGACGTCACTCCTGAAGATCTGCGTGAAGCCCAGTCTCGGAAGGAGCAGCTGTCGGAGAGCATCAAGAGTCTCACGGCGGCCCTGTTCGGGGAGGTTCAGTCGAAGTGCGTTGAGCTCAAGAAGAACCACCAGGAGCAGGCCAAGCGGCTCGAGAAGAAGCGGAAGACGGATGCCGAACCTGCTGCTGCGGGTGTACCTGCAGGAGGTGCTGCGGCCGCCGCCGCCTCTGAGGCATCGGGAGCGTCGGCCTCTGCTGCTGGAAGCAAGGCCACCCCAGCGCCGCCTGTCGCCCCTGGTGCCCCGCCTTCTAAGCCTGGCGCCTCTGTCCGTGCCCAGGCTCGTGAGGCTATCAGCAGGGCACCGTCCAAGGCGCCCCCCGCTGTCCCAGACGGGAAGGCGCCGCCACCAGCGGGCCCCCCAGCCAAAGGCGCGGCTCGTTCCTAGCCAGACCGGTGCCGTGCCATCACCCTTCTCCTACCCTAGACTCCCTACCTCCTGCCCAGTTTTGGATGCCCTGCGAAACTCGTGTATGCATCGACTTGGGACCAAGGAGATCTTGTTGCTGCTCAGGAGTCTATTGAACTGGAGATAGTGACGGCTAACGGCACCGCTTGGAGCTCGCTCAAGCAGTTTTTGGGTATTACCTCTGCCCACATCGTGCTCGCCCAGGAGCACAAGCTCATTAGCGCTGAGGACATCAGGAAGGCTTCGGCCTGGTGTGTGCGAAACGGGTGGAAAGCCAGCTTCGAACCTGGAACCCTGGGGCCTGGGGGAGGCCCCTCGGCTGGGGTCGGGGTCCTGGTCAGGTCCTTCCTTGGGTTGCACCACCCCGATTTTGGTCCCACGATTCGGCCTCACAGGGCCCTCGGAGCGCTCGTCCACCTCCCAGGTCAGGCCTCTTTCTACATTGTTAGTGTCTACTTGCAGGATTGTGTTGGACTTAGTGATTTCAATCAGGATATATTTGCTGGAGTGGCGGCGCGAGCAAAGAGCATTACGGTGCCGTTCGTTGTCGGAGCTGACTTCAACGTGGAGCCCGCCGTGCTAGCAGGCTCGTCTATTCACAGAAGGATGGGAGCTGACATTGTGCACCCCCCTGGAGCTGTAGGCACCTGTCGTAGCACTGGGGGCGTGAAGATGTTCGATTTCTTCCTCTGTTGTTCCCGCCTTGCGCAGGCGATCAAGGGCGTGAAGGTAGTGAGCGATTCGGAGTTAGCGGCGCATGACCCTGTCTCCCTCACCTTCCACCCCTCCCTCGCGTCCCTCAAGGCTTTGACCGTTCGACGTCCCCCACCCTTGCCCACCAGCAGGCCCGCGGGGCCGTGCCCCGAGCCCCCTGCCGAGTGGGGAGTGTTGGGTCGGCTGGCCTCGCGAGCCCTGGTGGTGGCTGAGAGTGGGGAGACTGATGTGACCCAGTATCATCTGGACACCATCTACAAACATTGGGCCAACACGGCTGAAAAGGAGCTCGAAGGGGTATTTCAGTGCCGTCTCTCGCACCACGGTAGTCGTGGTCGCCAAGCGGAGCTGCACTGGGTCAGCGCGCTGCAGTCGGGCACGGCCTCGATGGAAGGTGTTTCGTCGACGTCGCAGTTGGCCTCGCAGCTCCGCTGGCTCAGCAATCGCTTTCGGCTTTGGTTGCAGCTGTACGCCCTAGGAGCGTCGACGGCTGCGCCCGAGCCCCCCTCCTCCCCGCGTTTTGCTCGTAGCAGTTTAATCGGAAAAAAAACAGCCTCAGGACGCGCCGAGCACAGCTCGGCACGCAGCAGCCATCTTTGTGCCACGGCTGCTGAGCTGTTCAATCCCCCTGTCAGGCTGGGAGAGTGGAGCGGCCACGCGGCCGCGCTGCTTCAGCGTTGCAGGGATGTCGTCACCCACAGCCCCCCTGGTCAGCCCGTCGTCTATGGGGAACCCGAGTATGCCCTGGATGCGGTCTCCCAGGCCCAAGCTGTGGCCGAGAATGAACATCGTAATGCTGAGAACCGTAAGTGGGTGTCTTGGCTTAAGACCAATATTGAGTCTGGGGCTCGGCACGCCCATGGGGTTGTTCGAGGGGCCCCAGCTTGGACCCCCACCACCACCCTCAGCGTCAAAGGTGAAGTTGTTTCGGACCCACAGGCCCTCCTTGAGTCTGAATGTGCTAAGTTTTCTGATCTGTGGCATGCCGAAGACCAGCAGGTTTCCCCGTCGACTGGTGCCAGGTTCGAGGCGCTCGAACCCCTGCCCGAGTTGACCCCAGCTGACCTTCGCCGTGTCTCTAGGTCTTTCCCGAAGCACACGGCCACCTCGGTCGACGGTTTCCATGTTAGCCACTTCCAGCACCTCTCGGATCAGGCCCTTGTCGTCCTCTCCCGCCTTATCGCCACGTTCGAGAAGTCAGGGCACTTGCCAATGCAGATGCGCGTTCTGTTGCTCATCATGCTTGCCAAGCCAGACGGAGGGCACAGACCGATAGGATTATTCGTGTCAGTTTATCGTATTTGGGCCCGTGCTCGTCGTGAGTATGCTCGCAGGTGGGAAGTGGCTAACGGCGGGGACTTCTTCGCCGCGGGCTCTTTTGCATCGAGCGTGGACACTGTCTGGCGGCAATGCGTTCGAAGTGAGAAAGCTGTTTCGCCTGATTTATGTTCCAGTTCGGTGCTCTGGGACCTTCTCAAGTTTTATGAGTCGGTCGACTTGGATCTGTTATTGCAGCGTTGCCGTCAACACGGTTTCCCCATGCAGATTGCGAGAGTTTGTGATGTTGCTTACCGCGCCTGCCGCTACATCGCCATGAACAGCAGGGTCATCGGGCCCAAGTTCGCATGATGGCGAGGATTAGTGGCAGGCTGCGGCTTCGCGACCACTTTAATCCGTGTCTTCAGCATAGCCGCCTTAGATGGGCTTAGCTTGCCAAGACCGGTCTCGTTGAAGATATATATATCGATGATTACACCCTGTCTTGCCAAGGGACCGCCTCGACGGTCGTTAATGACCTCCTGGAGGGGGCCATTAAATTGCAGGTTGTCATCGAGGGCGATCTTGGCTGCGCGATCGCTGTCAAGAAGGCGGCTGTGCTCGCCTCTCATTCTGCAGTTGCTAAGGCCGTGCGCCAAGGTCTTGGCACGGTGGGCGGAGCGCCGTGTGACTCCGCTGTCAACCTCGGCATCGACGATGCTGCTGGCAGGCCCCGTCGTGTCGCTCGTCGTGGTGGAAGGTTTAAAGTTCGTAAAACCCTGTTTTCGGCCAAGGTTGCTCGTTTGGCTCGACATAAGAGAACCCTCGGTCGTCACTCGCGTCGTGTTTTCACGACAGGGCCCCTTGCCAGCCGAACCTACGGTTGCGAGGTGCACGGCACCTCGGACCATGAGCTTTTCACCCTGCGGAGAGCCATGGGTCGTTTCTTGCAACCCTCCGCTGGAGGGAGATCTCTCACGGCAGCCTTCCTGTTTGCCGCCGACCCCACCTGGTACGTGTCCGTCGCGCCCATTGTGAGGTGGTCTAAGGAGGTCTGGGCTTGCCTGGTGGGGGCCTACCAGTTCGGCCTCAGCTTGACCGAGCTCCGCGGTGCCTGGGCTGTGGGTTTCTCGGGGCCTCTTCAGCCGTGGCGTCGTGTGCGCGGTCCTGCGGGGGCCCTGCGGCTCTCGGTGGAGCGTCTTGGGTGGAAGATGCCTAGTTTCAGCATGCTGGTCGACGACCTGGGGGTGGAAGTCTCCCTTACCCTGGTTTCGCCTTGCCTCCTGAAACGTCTCCTCCGTGCTGCTGGTTTGAGGAATCTGGAACGTGAGTATGGGCGGTCCCTGGGCCTGGATCGTCGCGTGTGTTTCGACGTTGCCGTTGCGGCCATGAGTTCTTCAAAATTCACTCCCTTCGAGAAAGGGTGCATAAGAGGTCTTGTCTGCCAGGCGCCCTGGACCAAGGCGCGAGCCGAGGACCACGGCTACATCATGCCTGACACGTTGTGCCCGCTGTGCGAAGTGGCAAGGGACACCATTTTCCACAGGTTGTGGTGTTGCCAGCACGAGTCGGTCGCCCAGGCCCGAGATGACATCCTCGGAGATGGGTTCCAGTTTCGGCCGATGGAGTACGACTCGTTGTCGGATGCTGACAAGATAATGTACACGTTGGGTTTGTTTACCCACCCTGGTGACTTCTTCCCTCCCCCGTCAAAGTGCGAGCCTATATATCAGCATTTTGACGATCCTGGGAAAGACGATTATACTGTTTCGGGGAATATCTTTATGGATGGATCTTGTATACGTTCGGTCGTAAGAGAATTATCGAGAACGGGGTGGAGTTATGTCTCGGTTTCCGATTCTGGGCAGGAACTGGGTCATGTCTATGCCCCCCTCCCTTACCCCATTCCCCAAACGGCTCAGGCTGGTGAATTTGCTGCCTGCACTGCTGCTTGCCAAAATGCGGTCACTCCAGCTGTGGGTTATAGCGATTGCCAGAATGTTGTGGCCCTTTGGGCCCTCCCCCGTAGTGAACACTTGTCGTACAAGCGAGTGCACTCGGGCATGTTTGTTTGGACCGCAGACAGTCAAATGGGGCCCATCCACAAAGTGAAAGGCCACATGACGGACGAGCAGGTGGGAAACGATGCCTATCTGAAGTTCTGTAAGACTGGGAATGACCTTGCCGACCACTATGCTAAACTTGGGGCCCTAGCTCACGAGAAGCCGAGCCCCGAGCAGCTAGATTGGCTTGAGAAATGTTTGTCGGTCGTTCGCAAGGTTTTTGTTCTGGCTGCCCGGATTTTGCCTCTCTGGCCTCCGCTCGACTTGTCTTTGGCCACTCGTGCGCCCGTCGAGCCGAAGCCAGTGCCAATCATAGTGCCTCATCTCTGGAAGAAGGTGGGGACCTTCTGGCAGTGTAATCTTTGCCTCGCGGTGTGCCGCGGGGTTTTCCCGAGGAATAATTCGAGTTGCTCAAAGAAGCATAAGCTCCAGTATGACGTCCTCCAGCAGCTGGAGCATAATTGTCTGGGTTTAGCGTGTTCGGACGGCGGCATTGTCTGTGTTTGTGCCCGTTGTAAAGCGTTTTCCACTGGCTAAACCATGTCCAGGTAGGCCACACAATTTTAAATATTCTAAATATTATTGGGACAGAATTTCGGCTGGCAAGCACCCCAAGCTCTCGGACGTCTGGCTTGATGCGGATGCTAACAGTGTTGTTCGTCTCTTTAATACCACCTAGGCCTGTGTCTGGCCCAGCCTCCCGTTCTCGTGGCGTGGGGGCGTGGCCCTGATATAAGGTTTTCATGGCATGTATGACTTGTCTGTGCCATTTAAGGGCCGTGCTCGACGGCCGCCTGGCGCCCAGTGCCAGGCCGACTGCGGGATGCCGTGGAGAGCAGCGTAGCGGTAAAAATCCTCCTCCTCCTCCTCCTCCCCTCAGCCGATCCCCCCCTGACGCTGCCCCTGAACACCGATCCGGGGCCCAGGACAGGCCTGGCCAGGACCGGTGCTGGTGCACGCATCGGGGAGACGTAAGACTCTGGTTCGGGGGACGCGGGCTGGCCTGACGGAGCCATCGTGAAAATGACGAGAGGCGATCTGACATTTGACGCGAACTGCCGCCGCAAACACCCACGAACACTGGACTGTCACAATCCAGGACGCGGTCGTCACAAAGCGTCGGCCAACCCGAGCTTCGGCGTACTCGAGTCTTACGTTTGCCCGAGAATAGCAGGCGTCGTCCCGACCTGTCAGCCGAAGGCTGCGCGGAAGAAGACTGGTACAGTCACACAAGGTAGCCAACCACAGCGAGAAGCCGACATGAAGGGCGCCCGCAGGCATCGCCGCGCAACCGGCCGACCATCGTCTACATTGATCCGCCTCCGTGCCTCTGGGCACGGATTGGGCGTGTCCTCAGGTCGTGGGCCCCATCCTCTCAGCCTCAATCCTCAGTCCTCAGGAATCTTCAAAGCCCGGACCCCAATTTCCGAAATCTCCTTGGGGCTTCCCGGGTCTCCCAGGGCTTTGGGCGCGTGAACTTTTGGGCCCAAGCGAGGGCCCCAAGACGAGCCAAGAGGGCCCCGAGAAGCCCTCAAAACGGTCCAAGAGGGCCCCGAGTCGCCGAACGATCGTTCCAAGACGCTCAAGATGGCCCAAGAGGCCTCCAAAAGTCCTTCAAGAGGCCCTAAAGAGGCCAAAACCATTGAGTTTCCCAAGGTTTTTGGAAGGGGTTGTGGCGGTCTCGCCTTTTCGGCTTTCGACGCGCCAGACCGTCCCAAGACCGCCAAGACGGCCCCAAGACGGCCAAAGAGGCCTCCAGGAGGGCCCCAAGACGGCCTCAGAGCGCCCCAAAACGGCCCAAGAGGCGCCCAAGACGGCTCTAGGGGGGCCCAAGACGGCCCAAGAGGGCCACAAGAGGCCCAAGAGAGGGAACAAGAACCGACAATCCGACCCTTCCGCCCCAAGAGGCCCCCAGGAGACCCCCAGAGGCCCCCAGGAGGCCCCAAGAGGCCCCCAAGAGGCCCCAAAAGGCCCCCAAGAGGTCCAAAAGAGGCCCCACGAGGCCCCAAAACGGCCCCCCAGAGGCCCTCAAACTGACTCCAAGAGGCCTCCGAAAGGCCTCACACGAGATCCCAACAGACATCCGATGGGCTTCATACCCAGAACCCAGGCACGGTGGCGGGATGGGCCGTAGGCGTCTTCGATCCGCCGCCCTCTTGTGGTCTTGCAACAGGGGTGCCCGGCGTGCTAGATCCTACTGGTCTGGTTTTGTTGTGGTTTTTTGTATTGTTCATGAGCTCTCCCCCTCCTCCTCCTCCTCCTCCTCCTCCTCCTCCTCCTCCTCCTCCTCCTCCTCCTCCTCCTCCTCCTCCTCCTCCTCCTCCTCCTCCTCCTCCTCCTGGTCTGGTTTTGTTGTTTTGGTTCCTGTGTTGTTAATGAGCTCTCCCCATGGGGCTTCGGCCCGTCACGCCAGCCACCCGAACTGGCCCGCCGGCTGCGCCACCAGCGTCTCCCAAAACAACTGCCGTTTCGCTCGGGACACCCTCAACAAGTAGCGATCTCGGGATCCTGGCCCAAGACGCCTTGTGACAAGAATAAGCGTTTCGCACGAGAGGTGCTCGGAAAATGGCGATGTTAACATCGATGGCCTCACAAAAGGTCCCCAAGACGGCCCCAAGAGGGCCCCAAGACGGCCCCAGAGGCCTCCAAGACGCCCAAGATGGCCTTCAAGACGGCCCTGGAGCATCCCAAGGGGGCCCAAAGTCAGCCCAGAGAGGCCCCAACGACGGTTCCCGACTGCGTCAAGCGGGACAGGAGCCCACCAAGACGGCCCAAGATGGCTCCAAGATGGCCCAAGACGGCCCAACAGGCCCCCAAGAGGTCTCCAAGATGGCCCAAGACGCCTTCAAGAGGGCCTCCAAGAAGGCCCGAAGAGACCAACATCATTGATTTACTTTAGGTGTTTGAGAGATGTTGTCATTTGCTTTTTGTTCGACCTTCCGACGGCCCGAGACGGCCCAAGAGTCCCCTAAGATCGCCCCAAGATCTCCCAAGAGGCCTCCGAGATGGCCCCAGAACGGCCCAAGAGGCCTCCAAGACAGCCCCAAGGGGGCCCCACGACGCCCCCAAGGGCCTCCAAGACGCCCAAGATGGCCTCCAAGACGGCCCTGCAGCACCCCAAGAGGACATCAAGTCGGCCGAGAGAGGCCCCAAACACTGCTTCCGACGGCGTCAGACGGGTCAGGAGCCCACCATGACGGCCCAAGATGGCACGCAGGTGGCCTGAGACGGCCAAAGAGGCCCCCAAGACCTCCAGGAAGGCCCGAAGAGGCCCAAATCATGGATGTTGCTTCGGAATTTGAAAGATTGTGGCATTTGCTTCTGTTTGGCCTCCCGGCGGCCCGAGATGGCCCAAGAGCCCACAAAGATCGCCCCAAGATCGCCCAAGAGGCCTCCGGGATGCCCTCAGAAAGGCCCAAGAGGCCCCCAAGACGGCCCCAAGAGGGCCCCAAGACGGCCCCAAGAGGGCCCGACGACGGCCCAGGAGGGCCTTCAAGACGGCCCTGGAGCACCCCAAGAGGTCACAAGTCGGCCTAGAGAGAGGCCCCCAAGACGGCTCCCGACGGCGTCAGACGGGCCAGGAATACCCAAAGACTGCCTGAGAGGCCCCCAAGAGGCCCAAGGAGGCCCCCAAGAGGCCTCCAAGAGGCCCTCAGGAAGCTCCCAGGAAGATCCAAGAGTGCCCCAAGAGGCTCCCAAGAGCGTTCCTCCTCCTCCCTCTCCTCCTCCTCCTCCTCCTCCTCCTCCTCCTCCTCCTCCTCCTCCTCCTCCTCCTCCTCGTCTTCCTCGTCTTATTATTATTATTATTGTTATTATTAGTATTAGTAGTCGTCGTCTTGGTATTACTAGTATGCTTCTTCTTATTATTAGTGTTAATACTATTCTTCATATGTGTAGTATTATCATTATTCGTATGTCCCTTACTGTTCTTATTAATAGTATTCGTCGTCTTCGTCATCTTAATATTAGTAGCATTAGCAGTCTTATTAGTATTAGTATTATTATCATGATTATTATTAGTATTATTATTAGTAGTATTAGTATTATTATTAGTATTAGTTTTATTGTTATTAGTATTATGTGTTGTTTTCGCCTTCTTAGTATTATTACTCTTCCTCCTCCTCCTCCTCCTCCTCCTCCTCCACCTCCTCCTCCTCCTCCTCCTCCTCCTCCTCCTCCTCCTCCTTCCTTCTTCTCCTCGTTTTCCTCTTGCTCAAGTGTTCCCCGAAGGGTTTCAACGACGGCTGGGGGAACACGTGGTCCGATAGCTTGGTCAAGCTCTAGCCCGACTTTGGGCCACAGGGGCGCTTCCAAAAAGGCAGTGGGCGGCGGAGATTCGCCGTATGCGTCTTCGATCCGCCGCCCCCTGTGGTCGTGCCACACGGATGCTTGGCGTGCACGGTTTAGTGTCGGCTCTTATTCCAAAAGAACTCTCCGCGGGAGCCTCTGCGCGCCCCGCTGGCCACCCAGAAGACCGCGCCGCCGCGCAGCCCGCGTCTCCCAAAACGGCAATGTCGCTCGGGACATCCTCACGCAATCGCGATCTCGGGGATCCTAGCCGCTAGCCCAAGACGCCTTGTGATAAGAATGAGCGTTTCGCCCAAGACTGCCTCAAGATGACAGAAGACGGCCCAAGAGGCCCCCAAAAGGCCCCCAAGCGGCCCCCAAGACGGCCCAAGAGGCCTCCAAGAGGGCCACCAGGAAGGCCCGAAGAGGCTCAAATCACTGATGTTCCTTACGTTGTTGAAGGAGTGTGGAATCTGCTTCTTTTCGGCCTTCCGACGGCCCGAGACGGCGCAAGCGACCTCAAAGATCACCCCAAGAGGGCCCAAGAGGCCTTCAAGATGGCCCCAGAACGGCCCGAGAGGCCGCCGCACCCCATGGGAGCCCCAAGTCGGCTCAGAAAGGCCCCCAAGACGGCTCCCAACGGCGTCAGACGGGCCAGGAGCCCACCAAGACGGCCCAAGATGGCACGCAGGTGGCCTGAGACGACCCAAGAGGCCCCCAAAAGAGGCCTCCAAGAGGGCCTCCAGGAAGGCCCGAAGAGGCCCAAATCATTGATGTCCCTTCGGAATTTGAAAGACTGTGGCATTTGCTTCTGTTCGGCCTCCCGGCGGCCCGAGATGGCCCAAGAGCCCACAAAGATCGCCCCAAGATCGCCCAAGAGGCCTCCAGGATGGCCTCAGAAGGGCCCAAGAGGCCCCCAAGACGGCCCCAAGAGGGCCCGAAGACGGCCCAGGAGGGCCTCCAAGATGGCCAAGATAGCCTCCAAGACGGCCATCGAGCACCCCAAGAGGGCCCCAGAGAAGCCCCCAAGACGCCTTCCGACGGCGTCCGACGGGCCAGGAATACCCTAAGACGGCGAAAGAGGCCCCCAAGAAGCCCCCAAAGGCCCCGAAGAGGCCCAAGGAGGCCCCCGAGAGGCCTTCAAGAGGCCCTCAGGAAGCTCCCAGGAAGCTCCAAGAGTACCCCAAGAGGCTCCCACGATGCCCCCTCCTCCTCCTCCCCCTCCTCCTCCTCCTCCTCCTCCTCCTGCTCCTGCTCCTCCTTCTCCTTCCCCTCCTACTCCTCCTCCTCCTCCTCCCTCCTCCTCCTCCTCCTCCTCCTCCTCCTCCTCCTCCTCCTCCTCCTCCTCCTCCTCCTCCTGATCTTCCCCGCCATCCTCCTCCAAGTGTTTCGTTTCCCGAAGGGCTTCCACAACGGTTGGGGGAACACATGGTCCGATAGCTTGGCAGAGCTCTCGCCACAACGCTCGGCCACATGGGCGATTCCAAAAGGAAGGAGGCGGCGGTGATTCGACGTAGGCGCCTTCGATAGTAGGGAGGGTGGGCCAGGAGGTCCTGAGCCCCTGAGCGACGGATGTATGAAATCACGGGCACAAGCTCCGGTCCACTCCCATTCCCCGCCATCCGCCTCCACCTCCCCTCCCCATGTCCTCCGCCGCTCCCCTCCCTCCTCAAACTCCGAGCACTCCTTGTCGTCCAACTCTTCAGGCTCATCTTGCTCCTCCAGCGCGTCCACTTCTTCCTCCATCCGCTTTCCCCCTCCTTCTCCTTCTCCTTCTCCTCCTCCTCCTCCTCCTCCTCCTCCTCCTCCTCCCCCTCCTCCTCCTCCTCCTCCTCCCGAGCAGTGCGAAGAGCAGTGCGAGGAGCAGCAATACGAGTTCGAGTCCGACGGCAAGCGTAAGACCGTCTCGGACGAGTGTGCGGCCCTTGCCGTGACGGACGTGATCACGGTCATCGAGCCGTTCCGCGTCGGCGACGTCGGAAGCCAAAGACGCC